ATATATATATATATAAAGTGAGAGAATGTTATAGTCATCCTCCACTTGTCTGCTCCCATGAACAATAGTCCAAGGGAAGCCGGTTTGAGCTTGTCTTCCTTTTGTCGTCCATATGGACAAAACGTCAAAGGTGAACATTGAGACACTTATAAGCCATCCTCTCAATGGACCATGAATAAAAGCTTACTCTCGACACTATGCTGAGGGGGTTCTTCCCGAAAAACCCAATAATTACAAAGTCCTTGATGACTAATTTGAATGTCATAGTGATTGGATCGAGAAACTTCTCTCGACATCGATCTTAGTGCAAGCGACGCCTCATGAGCTTGACGCACTCATCTTGGAGCCACCTCGGGGCCACTTTGGAGCCATCCCGGAGCCACTTTAAAATCAACTCGGAGCCATTTTGAATACTCCTAAGTGCGGGTTGGATCACGTTGGATTGACTTAAACATCGACGATAATTCCTCCAATCAACTATCCACTTTGATTTATTAGTTTGCGATTTCATACTGAGCATGAGCATGGATACGATTTGATCGTCCGATATAAACTTCAATTTGATCGTCCGATATAAACTTCAATGTACAAAGATGTTTCGATGAATTCAACCATATGATTCAAAAAAATAAATCGTAATCATATCTAAAACAACATCGGTCTGCTTTTGAAGATGTCAATTATGAGAATAAGGTAGGCGTCAATTATAGTAATCAGCAAAGAATCTTGACAATCAAGTGATGTATCTTATCATTTATTATTAGAAAATCAGAATCTACAACATTTATATCAGAGTTGTGTCAATTATTTATTACACAATCAAATTAACAATCAAGCATCAATCACCAAAACTTAAAGGACCCATTAATTTACAACATTTATTTTTTATCTTTTGTCAATTAAAAAGAAAACTCTTTTTGCAACATTTAAAGTCTTAAGGCCCGTTAGTAAGAATTAATACAGTCGTAACACGTTGCCATCTTTAAATCCTGTGAACCAAATAGATTCGCGCGAGGCGGCCGTTTGCTTCCCCGCGACAGCTTCTTCGGCGCCCAATCCAACGGCCAAAATCGAAGGATGGCGTCCACGCCAACCACCAAAGAGCCTTTTGAAACCAAGAAGCCATCGAAGTCTCAGACGTCAGACGACACCGCCCGTTTCCTTGCCATCCGAAACCCCTTTTCTCGGGGCGAACGGAGAACAAGCAACCCTCATTTCCGAAGGGAAAGTGTCTCAGGGATGGCCTCCGTGCTGCTATACTGGGGCGCTGTCGTCGTCCTCCTCGCCGCCTCCGCTCCCACTTCGTCTTCGATCCCCTTCGTCGTCTTGCACGGTACGTAGCATCTGAATGAACCCCGGAGCGTCCCGTTCTTTCTTGTTGAATCTCATCATCGGTGGATCGGCTTCGGTGCTTGTTAGGAATTGGGGATGAGTGTGCCAGTAAGGGGGTCTCGCAGTTTACGCAACTTCTGGGCAATTGGTCTCGCTCCGAGGGATACTGCATGTACGTAAGCCTCTCTTACTATTTGCTTATTTGAGTCAAATTGCTCTCTATTTACCGTCAATTGGTCGAATTGAGATAATGGGGATTGATGGATCTTGTGCAAGTTGGTCACTCATTTAAGTTCAGCTGGAGCTTCATTGAGTGCATGGTTGCAATGACCATAATTTACGCTTTAAGCAGCTTCGTTTTCCTTCCTATTGCTACTCCCCACGTGCTGATTCATTGATTTGCTTTAAATTTTCTTTCATATCGGTAGTGGGAAAGGATCAAATAGCAAAAGCTCAATTTAACAGGCTAAAATTTAGTTGTAACTGTGAATTTTAACTTTCTTGCGGCAACATGTCTTTTCATGTCAAGTTTTTTTGTTTTCGAGTCTTATCTTGAAATTTAACACATTGTAGGAGGTTCAGTGCTGATTATGATATGCTTATTGGATGTAAATTTTTCATTTGTACTTTATAGCTGAGCAGATAAATATGGGAGAAGTCTTGATGTCAGATATAGGTTGAGGGTTCGAAATCTCATCCAGCAAACTTTTAGTAGATGACTAAAAAAAAAAAGAATTAGGACTAGAAGCAGAAGTCTTGTTCGTCGTCAAGACAGATGTGACCAAATTAAAACTGTAAAAGGTAGTGTAATGCGTTCTTAAATAGACTACTGTTGGAAATGGATTAGAATTGGAAGATATTATTTGTTCTGCACCTTAATGCTATCCTAGGCTGATCCTGCCATTTTTTACTTGTTAAAGATAATGGTTTTCTAAGGTAGCACTTGATCTATATCATACAAAAATGGAGTCCTTTGGACAAATGTTTCAAGCTACAGGTGAGCTTTAATTCTTATTTTTAACAGATAAGGATCCTCCAATTAACTGGATAACGACCTTCCTTTGTTTAATAATTCCATTTTTTCTTTTGTCTGACATTTTACCATTGTTCTCCTTAGAGAAATTGGAAATGGTGTCTGGGACTCTTGGATTATGCCACTTCAGCAACAGGTCGATTCTTTTCTTCATAAATATGATCCTTATTATACATTCTAGCTCTAGTTAACACATTTTTGCAATTTACAGGCAGATGTTGTATGTGAGAAGGTGATTAAGTTGTTCAGTTGAAGTTCACTAAAGTTGGTTCGTCATAAAAGCCAAGGTGCTTGTCGTTGGGCTCTTTAAATTGCATGCTTTTTTTTCAGGTAAAAGAGATGGGGGAACTTAGAGCAGGTTACAACATAGTTGGCCTTTCTCAGGTGATGATAAGTTTTTGTTGTTCTTTTTGGTTCTAGTAGTCATTTTCTAGATACCTGTATGTTCAAAATTATGAATTGTATTATTAAACAAGTTGTATAGCTTATAGTTGCATATTTTAGTTACTTTAGGCCTATTTATTGGTAATTATATGGTGTCATACCATTTCTAAATGAAGCTAGTTACACTTCTTTTGATCCTATTTGTTGCCTATGTTGTAGCTAAAGCAATCAATTACACTTCTTATGACCATAATTGGTATGTTGCCCATCCCACATACCAATAATGGCTTGGACCATTGATATCGGTATGGTTGGTTTTTTATGCCTTAGCATTAGAACCCCTATATTTGTCTGTTGGCCTCTGTTTGATATTTCCATTGATGGACTATTTTTTTAATTTTTGTGCAAGTTTACTTTCTGAAGCAACAAATGTACTGATTCAATATTCAGATTAGAAGATGGAATCATGGTTAAAGATTAAAGATACTGTGGTTGTGGCCACCTAGTATTTAGTGAAAAATTTTAACCTGTGTTTAATCTTGAAATTTTAAAATTTATGGGTCATTTTTTCTTTTTGATATTATAAATTTATAATGTCTAGTTCAGAAAATCCTGCATGAAATGCTAATGTGGGCCAATACAAGAAGAAAATCATAGATGAACAATTCCAATTTATTCTACTTAGAGGGGAATTAGGGTTTGGTTAAATCACTTCTCTGCTAAGATTTTGTTGCTGTAATGGCGTTAACTTTATTGAAATCTTTAACTACTCTTGCTTATTTGTTCATTTTTATCCAGATTGTTTCTGTTAGGAAATTAAGATGTGTTTTTGTTTAAAATACTAATCAAGAAGTTTATTGAACTGTTCTTTTAGGGAAACTTAATTGGTCGAGCAGTAGTGGAGTTTTGTGAAGGTGGACCTCCGGTAAGATATCATACTTCTATATGTTCCCTACTTCCAGGATTTGTTCTCTATTTCCTGAACATTTTTATCTTCACTAATATGAAAGCATCGATGCATGAAGCTGCATTATTTGGTCTCACATATTTGACAGTCTTTAGGATTTGAAACAGTGTTTCGGAGATGGAGTTGATATTTTTGTATTTTAGAAATGTATACTTTTATTTTATAATGCTCCAGGTTGTATGACAATTTCAAGCTTCCTGTACGGTCGAACATAGTTATAGAGGCTTATAACTGTTGCAGTGTCATTGACATGGATTGTAGTCGAATTATAGAGGGTCCATGATACAAGAATTGTCATGATGCATTTTCTAATATGGCATATGTACATACTATATAGTACATAACTACATATAACAGCCTTTCTTTAGAAACATTTAAAAGTATCTGACTTGATAAATTGGCTGTTATGATACATCTTTCTAGGTTAAAAATATGTTCTATGAAGTTATTTAAGTCAACCCTGATAAGCAACTTTATACGAGCTTATGACAAATGTTAATGGTTTCCACCAGGGTTAATATCTCATAGAGAACAGAATATAAGGAGTATCACTTCTTGAAGAAGGGCAGGTTGACCATTGTTCTTTAATGTACTGCATTAGTGTGATATATACTTTGCAGACATGCTAGGGCTTATAACTTCAATTAATTTAAGCATTTTCTTGATTGATTTTATCTTTATTCAACATACTTAATATTGTGAACATAAGCATCCCTAGCAAGAACTGATTTTTTAAACTTATATGCTTTTATTGATTTTCATTACAAAATTTTATTATGCTTTCCATGCCATTTGTTTTTAAGAACACATCACGCTTGCTTTATGTGACTATATCTATTAAGGCTTTTGTAACAGGTTAAGAATTTCATCTCATTAGGGGGCCCTCATGCTGGTATCGCCTCTGTTCCATTATGTGGTGTAAGTGCTCTGGAAGTGGCTCTATCTTGTTTATTCTTCCATATATGTCCCACGTATTTTACTTTTTGTCTACGATTAAGGCTATTTATGTAAGATGTCCAATTAGGGGCTTTTCACATTAAATAAGAGGCAACTTTGCCTATGATCTCATTGGAGTCAGCCATTACTTTTTGTAATATAGATTATGGCTTCCATCTTTCTGTTGAATTGTTTCTTCTTTCTGTATGTAGTCAAATAATATTAGACTGTTATTATGATGTGGTTACATGAGTTTTGTAATAAACTTTTCCTGATTTAGACTTGTACTTTTGGTTCCTTGTATATGAATATCCATTTAAAATTTTCATATGTTCGGCTGACTTTAGAATAGTTAGAAGAGTATGATCATGGTTTCTTCATGTGTACTGCTTGAATGTTAGATTCTCAATGGTTTATCTCCAAACACTAAATGTTTCACAGAAATTGTTACATTTTGTAATTATGACTATATTCTTCCAATGTTGTTTCTTTCTTGCAGTCAGGGATCCTATGCAAACTTGTGGATAACCTCATCAAATTACAAATCTATTCAGATTATGTGCAGGTTTGTTTGCACTACATATTAGTATGCTGTAGCATGCAACAAATATCTAACTTCTTTGGAATTCTTCTATTTAAGCACTTTGAAATGAAATGTTTGTATGTTAAGCCAACCATGACTACTATTTGGCACTTCTGACTTAAGATTGTTCCATCACAGGCCCACTTGGCTCCTAGTGGTTACCTCAAGATCCCAAATGTGAGTATGGCAGTTGAATTTGAATGGTCAACTTTGTCTTCTCATCTAAACTATTTTTATTGTTGTTTTTGATATGTAGTTATATTGCTCCTAATCACTTGGAACTTCCGAGAGTTAATGTGCAGCAAGCAGACAATTGTCACTCAAACTCATTAACTGACTAATTCCCTTACTTTATTTCACACATCTTATTTTATTAGGAAAGGCTTATTAGCCAACTAATGCACCTACGCTGGTCTAGTGAAAATTACATCCCACTGCTTAGTTATTTTAGGAAGTCAATCTTAAAACATCGTAGCTATGCTTTTTCTTTGTCCTAGAGCTTCTAGAATAATTGTTACTTAATCATCGTATATACCATGATATCACTTCTTCGCTATATTGCTGAAACATCAGAGTTTTCCTGCTGACATGTCGTATTATGTGAAGGGTTCTCTTGTGTCCAGTCAATGAAGGCCGCTTGCCAACTGATATGGTCCAGCATGTTTTGTTGTTCACCTACTTTAGGAGTTGGATTTACCTAGACAATCCTTTAAAACCTTTAGTGGAGTTTGGGCATAGGTAATGTCTCCTCACCTTAAGGCCTTTGGTAAGAGTACTATTGTTTTCTATTTGGATAGGAGCCCGAGGCTGGGGAAAACACTTTTAAAAGGATATGTAAAAGGAAACATGCCATCATAAAGTGGTATATGCAGTATCCAGAATGTTCTGCTGGTGAACAGTGCTGCAGATACTGTATTTTCTCAAATTCTTGGGAATCATAATCAAAATCCCACCTGCAAGTTAGCATTTCAAAGCCTCTGAAAAGGCAGAATTTTCTTAGCTAGAATGTGAATTGAAATGTGATCTTCTTTTGCCAAGCACTATAAAATCATAATTGTTCAATCTGATCTCAATTCTATAATTGAACTCGTTGATAAAAACATCATCTGGTAATAAGCATATAGAATAATAGCTCAATAGAATATTGTTCTGGCTGGTTGCTATCTACGGTAGAAGTAATGCACTTATTAAAAAAATCCTAAAAATAACTTTATAATATACATTTCTCCCCCTTTAGTTAAGAATTTCGAAAATAATATACTTATCACTATGTTATATGCTCTGTGTTATTGGTGGATCTGGGTTTCATCTCAATTGTCTATTCTACAAGACCAGCATAACTTTTGTTCCTTGTGCATGAAGTTCTTTTCATTTAATAAATTAATACTATTAAATAAGATTGCAAAATTAAACATCAGTTTGTAAAATTATCACAAGAACACAGTAGGCATGAATTTCTAGATATCTATAGCATGGAGTTTAGGAAAGGATCATTCTTTTGGACTGATTGTGTATTGTGTATCACCATACTGTTACCATGCACATGATATAGTCAAAGATGATTTACATTCGACATCAATCAGATATTTTTTAGTGTTTGCAGTGACAAGTTCATTTTCTATCCTGCTGTTTTTATTTTCTATATTAAATGTTGCAATTTACTTGATTATGCTTTTCACTTCGCTCTCAATTCTTTTAGGACATCCCTGGCTATATGGAAGGATGCATGTTCTTACCAAAGCTTAACAATGAAGATCCTAGCAAAAGAAATGCTACTTACAAAGAAAGATTAAGTAGCTTACAGAATTTGGTGCTTATCATGGTTAGTTCGGAAAGCTTTTTTTTTTTTTCTTGTTTGATTGGTAAATGAAGAATCGTAATTACCAGTACATTTTAGGATATAACAGATGAAATACTTATTTCTTTTGACATTAGAATCTCCTGTATCAACATCACATTCTGTAATGTGGGTAGAAGTTTCTTATATTTATGATTCCTACCCGCTGGACAGTTTGAGCACGACACAGTTTTGGTTCCTCGGGAGACATCTTGGTTTGGATACTATCCAGATGACAACTTTAACCCAATTTTGCCTCCAAATCAGGTGAAGATTTTATCACCATTGAACGTCTTTAATATCACTTGATCAATCATGTTTCTACATCTAATTATGTCTGAAATAAAAACTATCCATATTTAAGCGAATCTTCTATGATACACTACATGTTTTGACTTCATTCACTCCCAATTATTGTCTGTGCGCTTGTCAACATTCCTTACATGTTAACTTTAATTTTTGTTGCATAGAGTGTAAGTACTGCTACAGACTTGTGGATGATTCAACTCTTGATGCTTTCTCTGCAGAAGGCGGTTAATATGTGGAATACTACTGTCGCATGCTTGGAACACAGTTCATAAGTTTTTATCTTTTTGCAATCTCTATTTAGAGGATTGCAGTCATCATATAGTATCAAGCAGGTTTCACAGTTCATCTAAATGTAATCTGCAGAAGCATTGGGTAGACATATCATTAAAATGAAGTATCATGGTCAATAAAAAGTATGGCACGGTTTTGAGCCTCGTAGACCTTACCAAATGCAAACTAGAACAGGTTGGGTTTTCAAGCTAACCATGCAAATTGATGACTTTTTAGAAATTGATGAGTTGAATTTTTGGTGCATCATGATGATCCAGATTTGTAAAGCCAGTTACACTGCAATTTTCTGTAAAACCAGATGATCCAGAAAATTAGTACATCATTAGACATACCGTCACTGATAACAAAATTCTATTTGAACAAACCAAACTTCATTTAGCTACATTATTTTCCTTCTTTGATGATTTCATTGCTTATTATGAAGAATTGACATTGCAGACCACTCTCTACACTGAAGATTGGATCGGTCTGAAAACATTGGACGATGCGGGACGAGTCAAATATATCAGCGTCAAAGGAAACCATATCAAAATCTCTCAAAGTGATATGAGAAAACATATTGTGCCATACCTGGAGGAGAACCCAGAGAAGTTCATGCAAAAACTTCCTATGAAAGAATAGTTCTCATAACTCTGATCCAAGTCTTATTCTTTTGTCCCCTACTTAAAGGGCAAACAGATGCAAATTTATTGATTGAATCTTCCTACATTATCTATGTTTTAGTGACAACAGCTACTGTCTAAATGGCCATTTGACATTCTCATTAAAAAAAAAAAATAGATTTTTTTTATATTATTTATTTTCATATGTGTTATATCGAACTGAATAAAAAAGCTGATAATACTTATTAGTTGCATTACCAAATTCTCAGAATATACTGATGCAGGTTGTAATGTCTTCGAAGCATCGACTTTGTTGGTAGAGAATTCAACTAAATTTGCTTGGTTATTTGAGTATCTGAATTTTAGGTACTCGAATCCAACTCGATTACCTATTTTTCTCATGATTAAATGAAATTTGAATCCCATTTCCTAAATATTATATGAGTTTATAGTAGCCATGTTGATAATAGTTTTTTTAAAGATAAAAAAGTATTGTGGATTTTAGGAGCGTCATGTTCATTAACTCCGAACCCTCAAATTCTTGTGGATCGTCCGATCGCCGCGGGCACCGCATCGCCACCCTTCATCATGATGTGTGATGGTGTGTGATTCGTTTCTGCTCCCTTGGAACCTTTTCGTTTTATTTTGTGCCGTTTCTTCCATTCATTTCCGTGACTGTGTTTTAGATCTTCGCGACGATGTTGGCGAGATGGGGAAGGGCCGCTTCCCAACTCGCTGCCGCTGCTGAATTGACGCGTAGGGTGGCCGCTCCGCGTGCCGCTTACCTCTCCGATCGGAGCTACTCCAAGGTCGGTACAGACGCCGCCGCCACCGTGACCGCTCCCTCGACTCCGGCCGTGTCTTCGCCCTCGAAGCTCCCCCTGAACAAACCAGAGGTAATCGAATGGAATCATGAAGCCCATCGCCTAATATTGATTGTTTTCTTCGATGATGTACTCGTGTAGGAAGACTCCGGTTCTGGAAAGACACCAATTTTCAAGGAGACGAGTACAAGATATCATCATGAGTGTTGTTTAGTCCTGAAAATGAAGCTATAGGTCTTAGAAAACAAATGAATCCTTAGTTTCTCAACGTCCCCATCCTATGTTGTCTTGTTGCAGCTTCACAACATGTCTTAGTGAGCATAAAAGAATTGTTACTGTGGCATCGTTATGCGCAATGTTTTCATAAATTGGAGTTCTTGCAAATATATATTGAGTGGAAATGGAAGTCATCCACCATCTCGTGTTTCATGTGTCATTCAAATCTAGTATTACTTGGTAGGGTGGTTCGACGAATTTGAGAAGAATTGTGCTTCTAATGAAATTATTAAACCACTGGAAACATATCTCCTCTTTCTAGTGATGATGCTGATACAAATTGTGTGAACCCTTACACCTACGTGTACCAAATAATATGGATAATAGGTGGTTCCAGTTGTGTTGTTTTCATAAACAATTTTAATGTAGACTAAATTGATAGAATCTACTAGTGAAGTTAGTATCAAGACTGTACTATTTCAATGTGATCTAGTTTCCATTTTCTTTTTTATTTTTTGACAATTAACAAATGAAGAGTGATATGAGCCATTCTCAGTTGTCATATTTCACCTCAACATTGTACCATTTTGACTTGCTAGCGGTGATGACTAAACAATCATGTTTTGAGTTTGACATAATGAACACTTAGAACAGCCAAGATTATGGTTGGGATAGTTGTGCAAAATTTGTGTCCATAACAGTCCTTGCATGTGACAAGCTCATGAGATGATTTATTATATAAAGAGGACTGACTTTTTCTTAAATGGGTTCTGTATGAATAGAATTGCTTAAATGATTAGTTGCCCATCGTCTCACAACAAGTCACTTAACTGAAAACTATAGTGTTATATCTTCCTTGTGATGTCATGAGAGACATTGTTTCTGTCTTTGTACTCCTGCTACATCTTTTATTCCAAAAGTTTGAACAAATTTAGTTGCAAATCAACATAATGACTCTTGGATCTTTGTTGTTGCATGACAGGATCCACGAATTGCATATCATAACAAGTCACATGATTTCATGTATGCCTACCGAAAATTTCACGTCTTTGCAGAACTACCTGTGGCTGCTAAACTAAATTGTAGTGTTATGCAGTTGTGCTAGCACCACACTCATCCTGATACTAATTTTTCCTAGCTCAATGTTAAAATAAAGGTTGAAACCTTCTCCCGCTGCTAAGTGTCAAGATCTATTCTGAAATCATGAATTTTCACACCAAATGTGCTTTTCTCTTTGTGACCCTGTATGACTGTACCATAAAATTGGTTTCAAAGTTACATAAGTTGATTTTCTCCTGTTGTTACGCCAGTTCTTTGGCTATAAACTTTGGAGTTATTTTTTCCATTTCAAAAGAACAATATCCTCTGAGTTTTCTTGTTTTGGTACTGAAAGCTAACATTTTTGGACAGGTTAGACTAAATGTTATGTTTTGGTCCAAGGCATGCTCATTGGCTTTGCCACCCAACTCTCCTCTGAGACTAGAAGAACCTCACTATGAGGGCATCAAGCGTCTAATCCTGAAGTTATTGTTGTTCTATAGCAAACAAAGCAAATCCATTAGAGGAGCAAATGTAGTTTATCGGCGCATCATTTCTCAGGTCGACAAGCCTGCTATTTATGATGGTGTGCCTTCTTCATTTTCTTTCTTTGCATATTGATTTTGCTTTTACTACTCTGACATGGTCAAATACATACTCCTTTTATTATTATTATTTTTGAAATTGAAAATTTTGAGCACACACATTCTGTGCCTAATATGCTTTTCTTCCTATTACATGCAATCGTTTTACATTTCATTATTTCATGTTTGGATTACATAACATAGTATGTTATTTTACATATTGTACATATTGCTAAGGATTGATACAGAACGTAATATGTTATTCTATATATTGTACATATTGCTATGAGTTGCATAAAGCTTGAGCACAGTATTGTTAAAGAAGCTTAAATAAATAAATCCTTGCTTGCTAGAGTAAAACTAGATTGCAAGATTAGTTTTATTCTCAATACCATTATTTGTGCTATATTATGTGTTATTGTGCAAGTCATATTGTATTATTGCTACTTGGTTCCTTGTTTTAATTATTTGTATTATACTATTGTACTAATATATAGAGTTGACCCATGCATGTATCTTTAACATGAGAGTTATTGCAGAAGAGATTCTGTTGTTCATATTTCCTTATATCCATACTCCATCTCTTATTGGCCAAGATGGCATTAATTCACATTGCTGTGCTACGGTGACATGGGTACTCAACTTGTCGTGTCATTGTAAAGATGGGTCAAATATCGAATACATATTACAAGACTTAGTACGTGGGAGAAAATCAATCTGATTCTGGTGGGGTCTCATACTGATCATAAAGTTTAACGATTCAAATGAAGTACTTGAAAGTTCAATTTAAAAATTAGAATTTGAACTTTACACAAAACAAGCAAAAATATCATGTAATCTCTTGTGTAGCAGAGCTACTATTGATGTTAGTTTGATCAAATACTTTTTTCACTTTTTTCAAGCAAGTGCAGCTTTTGACATTTTGTTTCCTTTGATGATTTGAAACATCAGCTACACTAGCCATGATTTTACATACAACTAGAAAGAGAAGTGTTTTCTTTAGCTCTCGCTAACTTGATTTTTCCTTTTGGAATCTTGGGACAGTCAAATTTTCTACTTCACAAAATAGTGATTCCCGAATCTTACGAGTTGTGCAATGTTGTCATAGAGGCATGTCATGGTATTTAGTTCCTATTGTTGTCTAATGCTTAACTTTTGTTTCTATCACTTCTGAACTAGTTTTTTTTTTCATGACTTTTCCATCTTCATGTGTTGGCTGAAAACTTGGCTAAGTAGTCTTTCTTAGGTAACATTATGTAATGGGCTCATGTATCACAAAAATCAGTCCTTGGCCTTGAGAACACATCTAAAACTATATTTTCATTACTTGAAATTCATGTAGTTTTTCTTGGACCAACACTTGATGGCCTAATTAAACATTTTGTATCCATTTATGCAGTATTTCAGTTGGAGAAAACATTTAAAACTACATTTTCGTTGCTTGTACTTCATATGTGGCTCTTCTTACGCCGCTTGAAGGAAGAGGGAAAGGAAGGAGTTGACTTTGGGCAATACTTGTATGAGATTTATAATCATGATTTGGAGTTGAGAGTGTCCAAGGCTGGGGTTAGTAGTTTCCTTTATGATTTTCTGTATCTCAATCAATTGCATTACATCTTTTTGACATAATTTTGTTGTATATCGAATTGTCAAATGCATATTTTGATTTAATGTAAACTTGTATGTCTAGATTATTCTGTCAGCACCGAGGTATGCAGTGTCTTAACAATGTCAAACTGCTTCAGTAAAACTCGACAAGAACCTACATTTGTGTGGACTTGGAAAAGAAGCTTAAACCAGTTAAATTTGAATCAATAAAAGAAAACATCAACATATTTTTTACTGTGGTTGTTCATTAGCTTCAAAATTGTTATCTATGCTCCAAACCATTGTAGTAAACTAGTAATTGCTAATAAGGAAAAGGCTGGCAGTTTATAAGAGAGGTACTGTCCCTTGATCTTTGGAACTCCTGCAACACTGAATGTAACCACTGAAATTTTAGTTCTCACTTTCGTTTGCAATAACTAAGACAAGTGTGATCTCCATTCACTAAACTAAATGATTTTTTTTGTCTGCCTTATTTCTGAAAAGCACAATCTACTTTTTTTACAAAATTATATTTTACAGAAAAATATATTAATTAAATACATGACTCTGATTGTCACTGTGATCATGCTCCTGAGTATCTCCAAGAACCATCTGATATTACAATTTACAGTGGATTGTTTTGTCTTGCGGCTGGATTGCAGGTTAACTTGTTATTGACAAAATGGATGAAGGATCTAGAGAAGATATTCTATGGCAATATTGTTGCATATGACACTGCCATGACCCCAGAAGCTAAACATGATGACCTTGCAAATGTAATATGGAGGTAACATGTTCCTCTGACCCATTTCTAAATCTTCTTGTCATGAGGGAATTTACTTGCATTGGCATGCCCACATGTTGGTTGGTTGGTATGTGCCCACAACTAAAGAGAATTAATTACTCATCGGGACTATCAACAAGATAAGTTGATAGAGGGATATGGCTGCTGATTTTCTGTTATCATGGTACATGCTGGTTGTCATGATTGAGATGTGTATGACTATTAGTTCCAGAATTTATCTTGAGAGGTTGGAATACTATTAAACCAATGTAAAAACGAGTAACAGGTATTGGATTAGAGCTTTCCACAATTTCATGTAATGAAAATTGTGGAACATCATCAATCAATGTTCTAAATATTTTATTATTCCTTGTACTTAAACTAGAATATGTTCGAAGTGCAATGAGATGAGTTCAAACCAATGATCACCATTTTGGATTCCAGACCCATTTTAGTGATCTATCGGACCAGTATATACTGGCCAGTACCAATGTACCATGTAACAGTACACCGATATGTACCAGTGTTTCGAAGGGGAAGAAAAAGGAGAACAGAAATGAAAAGGAAGAGAGAAGGAAGAAGGAAGAAGAGCAAGCAGCAAAGGAGGAAGAAGCGGAAGTAGAGAAGGAAGAAGAAAGAAGAAGAGGAGGTGAAGAGGTGAGCGCGTACCTTGGAAGAAGGAATGCGCCGGTGAAGCGATAGTGATGACAGCAGCGTTGAATGCGCGAGAAGAGGGCTCGTGTTCGCGAGCTCTAATTTCTATTTTAGGATTTTTTTTAATGCCAAGTTGGATGGGGCCCATTGCTATTTTTATTTTTTAATTATTTTAATTGAACTGGACAGGGCCACTAGAAACGGGGATGATCTGCATAACGGCCCATGCCCGAACCGGTACATACCGCCTGTTTTGTACCATTTCGGGTGGAACCGCAAACCTTGATTCAAACTATGGATACTGTAGATAAGAGCAAGACCTAACAAGACTTGGTTGGAAACTGTAAAGGATGTGATGTCACTTGGATTATCTATCAACCTTGTTCTCAACAGAGCTCAATGGCCAGAAAGGATCCACATAATACTATTTCAATATTAAAGCACCACATAGTCAGAATCATCTTCGGTTCGTGGCATCATGTTCATTTGACCGTTGTTTTTTATCTGCACAATTTGTTAGACTTGTTTGGTCTTTAAGTGCTAGTTTCAATACGTGCAGTACTCTGACAATTTCTTGTCCAGCAATTTGGTAATGAAGCTGGTGCAACTACTGTTTCAGGAATATTTTCTCCGAAGATGGTTCTGGGTTATCAAATGATGCTGCTGCTACTGCTGCTGTCCAGGCATATTCTCTATTTATTACTTTTAACTGACTATAACATGACATGTGCAACATGGAGAAGCTTCCCATGCTGAACTATGATAAATTTATGTTAGTAACTTCCCACTGGAATGAATTTTGCCATATTTTTGTGATTTCAGGCCATGGCTCGATATACTCGCAGGGAATCTACCTGTCTTTTATTGACAGGTTTAATTACTTCTGCTACATATCATCATAACTTTGCTTAAGCTTAGCCTTTATCACAAATATTTGTTGATAATGATTATTTTCTAATCTCCCTGCAAATTAACTCTGATGTTCAGACAAGGAGGCTATATTCTCTGGCAACTTCATGTTTACCTCATTGGAGAACAAGCCTAACCCTGGGAAGATAACAAATTGAGCCTAATGTTCCACAGTAAGGCGACAAATGTAATCTTCTGGATTAAAGAAGTTAATCATGCAAATATGATGAATTAAGAATGTTTATGGCTCTACACTGTTTTTGTTAAATGAAAACTCATTTTTTAGTCTATGGATGGATGCATCCCAACTCAACAAGGAACAACACATTTCTGTATTGTTGAGTTTTCTGCAAATGGAATGATTTGTAATAGTGGACAGCCCTTTCAACTTGTTGAAAAAACTGAGATCTACACGCCTTTTTTGTTGTTGTTAAATCTCAGTTGAATGTTTGGTTTCATGTGTTTACTCACTTCATTGGCATGTTCTTTTATAGACTTATTGGTGTCCATGATGTCAACTGAATGTTCTGGTTCTGGAAATGTGTGTATGGTTTGGTCCAATACTGAGATCAATTGCATGCAAAGGTAAAACAATCAGATGACTGCAGTGATCTAAGCACTCAATAGCCAAAAGATCCAATCTTCTCAACCTATACATGTTACTAATTTTTTTTATAAATAGTGCATACTTCAAAATATTTTTTTATATCTATATATAACTTTTTTACTTGTGAAAAATTATCAGAGAATGGTTGCTTTTATATTTCTGGTTTCTTATTGGTATTTTGTAATGTAATTAGATTATTACAGTTACTTTTACAATTTTTATAATTTTTTGATTTTTATTTAAGTAATTTACAAAATTATTAAATTCAATATCATTTTTCATTTGCATTTTGTCTAATTAATAGTAATGATTTTATCTGGCTTCTCAATTTGGACATATTTCAGACATGATAACCCACTATCCAACTTCAACCCCAACCCGGATTCGGATCCGACCCGATACTGAAAGGATTCTATACCACTTGAACTGGGTCGAGATACCAAGATGACCGGTAGCCCGGTCCAATACCGGACCGGTCCGATCCTGACAACTGATCCCCCTTCTGTCGGCTATAAAGCTATCGGTGGAGGCCGAGGCGGAGACGGCGACGGACGGTGGCGGTGACCAATGGCGACGGTGGGCTTTCTGGAAGACGAGAACCTCGAGGCGATCATCACCCGGATCGAGCACAAGTCCCGCAAGATCGAAAGCTTGCTTAAGCAGTGAGTTCGAATCTAATCCTAACCCCGATTCCAGCTGAATCTACAAAGATCCAGTCTTTCCTCGTAGGCCCTAATGCTGAACCCCTAATGGCAGATCTAAGCCGGTGGAGGCGCTTAAGACGGCGTTGGAGGGTTCACTCTTGAAAACCAAAGATGAGAGGTGCAAGGTTAGTTGGGATCGAATTCCTCGCCGCTTCGAGTGTTTAAGTTTTGATTTTTAGGTGAAGAATTATAGCTCTTTTGGGGCTGTAGTCGGCGAATTGGATAGTGGTGCATCGGGCGATCATGGCTATCAAGGATGTGGATGCGATGTTCTCTTCCTTGGATCCCGAGTATTACGACATTCTCATGAAGTAAGACAAATCAATCTTTTCTTTCCCAGTTTCTGTTGTATTTATGATTTGTTCTGCGATGTTGTTCGTTATCATTATCACATGGATTTGATGTTTTAGCAACATCTTTTTCAAACTATTCGGATATAGCTTGATATTTCCGCAATTTTTTTGCGTTCGCTTTGTCTTCCTTTGGAATGTTAAAGGTACCATGACTAGTGGGAAACTTGGAAATCAAGAATATAGAAAGATGCGCAATGTTGACTTGATCTAATTGCAGAGTTAGCTTATACCAAGTTTAGACTGGATGAAAATATACTTTCTGAAACAGTTGATATTGGGATAATGGGGAAGGCAATGGCTTTATGCGACAAGAGGATCCTTAAACCTATCCATGCTAGCCTTTAAATGGATTGGGATAGTTACTCTAAGATTTTTTGCATGACTAATGGACCTTGATTATAATGAATTGGCAAATTCCTTTATTTAAAATATTTTGGCATTATTTGTTTCTTTTGATGTTGAAGGTTGATTGCCAAAACTAATTTCTAGCTTTTGTTTCTCAACATAAATTTCTGAAAATGACACTTTTGTTCATAACATGTCCATAATTTAAGAAATGGTCAAGTTGTAGATGAATTTTGACATTAATTACAGCCTGATGGTTTCTTAATAAACATGCGACTGGATGCTTTATGATGCACACTTTTGTTTACATCATAGAGGACCAAAGCATTAAATTATTTTGGTTGTGATCCTTCTTGTGCTGTATCCTGGCCACTAGACTAGATCCTAGCGAGTGTTATGGTTAAGGGTACATTGGATCGAGGGACTTATAATCTACTGTGATATAGTTATAAAGACAAACGCCTGGGTGCAATGACTTATGTGAAAGTGAACTACTGGGCACATTTTGGCTGAATATGCACTGAATGAAATGCCAATTACAAATAGTGGTTGCTTGTAGCTCATTTTGAAATGATTCTTGATGTTTGGTGGGTTAAAGATGCATATTATGCTGGCGTAAGAGATTTGGAGCATAATCACGAGCAGTGCTTATCTTTATGTCGATGCTACACATGAAGGTTGACTCATATAAGAGACTAATAAATGTTTTATGTTGGAATGTAGTCCCTGTAAGAATATTTCTCATGTTGTGTTCTTGCTATCAAGTATGTCGGGATGCCCAATTTGAACTGTGGTGAGGATTGCAATATCTGTAAAATTTGTAACTGTATGAGAATACTATTGAGCTATGGGTCAAGTAGACTCAAACTAGTTGTTTTAGATTTTGCTCTATCCCCACAAACATGTTTTCTTATATTATGATCCAGACCTAGCATGGTCATAATTTACAACAGAGCTGCAAAAGTATGGATATAAACATGGAGTAGGTAGTGAATACCCAATATGGAGTCTTGGAGTAGTTAAATAGATTTTGGGTGCAAATTTGTGATAAAATGTTCCCAACTATGCAAAGGTCTCTAATACAAAGGGAAGAAAGTTGGTTAAGAGTTTTATCTTGGTTTCAAGGATGAATTGGTTCATATAGTCTTTTCTAGAGACAAAATGCTACTTAATTCCAAGGTAGTTGTGATCTATATATAAATACAATTTTTATGCTTGGTTAATATGATGTTAAGCATGAGCTTTAAGTAAGTTTAAGATCTTATTATTTCTACATTGATTTGTAGGAATGTATGTTCGGATATTTCTCAACAAATGAACTTATATTCTTAGTTAAATGTTTCTTCACAGAAAACATGCATGATGAGTGTTATTCAAGGGTTGTGACAATCCTCTGTAGTTTTGGAAGTAATTTGTTTTGACCATTTCAATGGTTTGTGTCCCAGTGACACAGTGACTAAGATTGAAGTCATGGAGAGTCTCCTCCTCTCCAGTTGTGTTAATGGGAGCCTGATTCATTGGGTTATTCTACTATTTTTCTCAACTTAATCTGATAGGTAGTAGCTTAGACATAACGAGTCTTTTAAGCATATGATCCAAAATGCTCTTATTGTCATTATCTAAACTGCATGGAGGATGTTCACAATGAGTCTCCAATACATTGGTGTTCTTCCAAATAGTACTCGACTAGTCCTATCATCTTCCACATAGAGCAGCTCATCTTCTGATACCAAATTCTGATGCCATCTCTTGTAATTTGTTGGCTGCTCACAGACATACTAAAACATGCAGGTATTTATATAGAGGCTTAGCAACTGGAGATCGACCTACTTGTGACCAGTGCCTCAAGATCCATGAGAAGCTGACAGAGAAAGCAGGGTTGGGTTGTATTCTTCGCTCCTTAGCTGACACCATTAATACTGTGTAAGCTTCACACAAAAGCAGCAACCTTGTTCTTGTGACACTTCTTCACTTACCACAAATGCGTGACATTAGCAAAGTGCTGTATTGAGTTCGTTTCCGACAGAGCTCCATGTGTTGGCTTCATCATATCTTCATGCTATTTTAGTTGATTCATAACCAAGTTGTTACACGCACGTGCCCACGCACGCGCGAACACTCACAGGCGCACACACGTTCTGATGGTTCTGCCAAGCCGAAGCCGTTCGCCTTGAATCCTAATCCTTCCTTCCTTAGCGATGCGCCTGGGCTCCCCCTGGCAGCTGTTGTTCTCGAGGCTCCTGTGCACACTGCCGCCGAAGCTGAAGAACGTGTGCTACCGCCACCGTGCGCGTGCCCTGGTGGAGGCGCAGCGCGTGCTCACCGACTACCTCCACGGCACGCGCGCCCTCCCATTCTTCCACTTCGACTACATCGCCTCCCACTCCCCCTTCGCCCTCTCCGCGTTCGTGGCCCAGGTCCCCTTACCCCCGGACGCCGCCGTTGACGACCTCAGATGCGCCCTCACCCGTTTCCTCCCCTACCACCCCGTCAACGAGTTCGAGTTCTTCTTCGAGAGCATCGGCCTCCCGGCCTCCTCCTGCGCCGCCGCCTCCTCCTCCTCCCGCAGCATCTTCCTTTCAGACGACGCCCCTCTCCTCGCCGCCGTTTCCGCCCTCATCCACTTCGGCTTCCCCTGGACCAAGCTCGGCCTCCTTTACCGCGAGAAGTCCTCCATCTTCTCATCCGTCCCCAGCTGCCTCGTCGCCCGGCTGCGCGACCTTGAGGCCCGCGGCTTCCACCGGGTCTGCGTCATCGGCATCTGCCTCGCGTTCCCTACCTCGATGACTGTTGATGTTGAGCCCGGCGGGGAAATTGATCGCTTGCTCCAGGATCTGAGAACGGTCTTTGTGGACTTCAGTCTGGCCGAAAGCGTGCCCGAGGACAATGTTGATGTGTTCCTTCAGATTTGCAGGAAGATTCGAGTGTTCTACGATCTTGGTTCCAGCAGGGGGACAATGGGCGAGCTGATGGGCATGAACCGAAGGATTTTCTTGGAACTGGATGAGGAAGCCATCGCACAGAAGTTGAAGTTCTTCATCAAGCTAGGTATGGAGGCAGAGAAAGTTGGGCCCTTTATTCTGGGATGCCCAGATATTTTGGATTTTGATTTGGAAAACCCTATCATCGCAATGCCAGAGTATCTGAAACGTGTTGGATTACCTAAAATGAAGTGATTCTGCTGTCTCAGAGGTATCCATATGTCTTGGGCAAAAATAAATTGGGGAATTTGCCAGGAAACATGCGTGCCATGAACCTGCACAAGTGGTTCTTAAGCAGGATTTTGGATGGGAATCACCATTACCTTTCATCTTCTTTGGTTTCTGCTGCATCACCTGATACAGAATTGGAGAGCAAATTTCTACAAGGTTTGGAGAGGGTAAAATGTGGGAGGAAGGAGTAGTCTGTGGATAACAAGCTCAAATTCTTGCTAGGTATTGGACTTAGGCAGAATAATGCCACTGTTAGATGCCTTTTACTGATGTACAGCACAAGTGGCCAATTGCAGGAGTGCTTTGAGTACTCCACGATATGTAAGAGGATAAGCATGGTTCCTAAATTACTTAACCAAAGCAAAGAGATGCTTTATGAGAAGGTGAATTTCCTTTGCAATGACGTGGGTTGTTCCTTGGACTGCCTTGATAGTTATCCGGCTTTTCTTTTTTTTGATCTGGAGAATAGGATCAAGCCAAGATATAAGATGCTAAAATGGCTTAAAGAACATGGCTTGCTCAAGAAGCTTTTTTCCCCCATTACTGTCCTTGCTAGATCTGAGAAGAGCTTCATGATTAACCTCTATAGTGTCCATCCAGCAGCTCCTAAGCAATGGTTGGAATGCTTCTCCAGCTAGCACTGTTCAAGATCTCACCTCAATGGTACAATTTTATTCATAAGCATTAAGGTGATTCCAAACCTCTGAATTTGATTTTTTGCATCTCTTTCCAGTTGTAGATGTAGATTGCTGTATTCAACTGTTAAAAGTATCTTGGGACGCAAGTTTCAGGTTGTAACCCTGCCAACTGATGCAGAGTGATTCTTCAGCACTAGCATCTCGAGACCTAGTCTTGGCTGTTGTAATTCTAGTTAAGATGGAAAGATTTGCACATGAATCAGGGAACCTTGGTCTTTAATGCTTCATATCAACTTTTATTCACCAAAATTTGTAATTGACATATTGTCCCTGTATAGGATTTACTAAAAGAGGGAAAATTGTTTTGTTGGTTGCTGGTCTCTCCTTTTAACTGATTGTTTGTATAGATTTGACAAATTCTTCTTAGCGTGATACACTGAACTGAAAGTGGTGCTCACATATCACTTTGCTCCGATTTTGTGCCTTTGTGGTCCACCTGGAGTAAAATGTCCAAGATTTCATGAATCTTATACTTTTGTATTTTAATTGATGCTGGCAACTGAAACTATGCTTTCTTTATTGTTAATTTGTTAAGACTTCCCAAATATTCCCGTCGGTTATCTAAAGAAACACTTCATTTTCTATTACCAACATGTCTGTGGTTGGCTTATTTTATCCAAATTTGCTGGCATACAAGATCATACTTTTGTTCTACTTGTCCAATTTGAGCACCTCCTCAGGAATTAATCCTCTGCTTGTAGCTACTTTATCATTACCTCCAGCTAGCTTGATCTGCTTAAAGAGCTTGCATTTGGTGATGGGAAGAGACTGTCTTTCTCTGGTGCTATGCCGTTTACTACTCGGGAACCTTGTACTGTGTTCCCTCTGATGAATTATTGTCTTCTGAGATTTTGAGCTTCTTAGTGTTGTTTGGTGACATGCGTCCATCTGAAAGTTACTGCTTTTGTTGGATAAACGGTATCATATTTTTCTTGTTAATTGGTGTTGTTCGTTGAGCTCGCCTGATTGATCTAACATCAGCACTGAATCCATCTAGCTGTCAGCAAAAGAGTATATATGAGAAATAAACACATTCTTTTAGGGTTGTTCTACAGTAAGTTGGATTGAACTAGATTCTTTAGTCCATGCATCTTTTAGTGTTATGTTTCGTGAATTTGTTGTTTTAGCGTAGTAAGAGTACAAACTGAGGTTGTATGCTTCTTGGTATGGTGAAAGGTTTTGAACCTGTAGATCTCTGGAACTACTGGTTTTCCACATTAGTTTATGTAATTGTAAGCTTTTTTTAAGTTGTCAAATTGTCCCTTCATGTTATCATTTATGCCACCTTTTGTTGCTGGTTTCTTCATTTTGCTTTTGAGAAAGAACCCTGCTTGTTGCTCTGCCTTGCCGTTGATGTTGACCTCACTCCATGAGGCAGAGAGGATTGCTTTCTTCATTTGTGCTCGTTATCTTGCTAACTTTTTTTTATCTTACTGTTGGCAGAGCATCTTTATCTAATGAGTCACAATTGTTTAATTCAATGTTTGTTCTTTGCAATTGGCAGAATCTAGTCATTTTACTCCAAGAAGCATGGAAATGACTTTTTTGCATGTATGTAATATCTCGAGTTTTATTTCAACTTGTCTTTGATTTAGATTGTGGCATGTAATATCAAAAGTTTCATTTTAATTTTCCTATTCGAGTTATGTTGAATACATGGTAACTATGTTGATGACATAAAGAAGTTTGTGTCTGACCTTGGTTCTCTATTATCATTACATGCTAAATCTTTCCACCAGTTAGTTTTGTCGCATCCCTGCTTATACAATTCATTTTTATGTTTCTTCTTTTGAAGTAATCAGTGCTTTCTGTAGTTTGGATGGATTGCACATCGTTGAGATGGGAGCAAGATTATTTCCTGTTGACTGGTAAGTGATAACATGACATGATGATGGCTTTGTTTGGTTCACTTCTTAAGAAATTTAGATACTCATGCAATGGATTTATGGAACTACTGGTTTATAAGATTTATTGCTTTTGGATGGTAAGATGTGTTGCAACTTGCCCCACAAGAGCTTCAGCAGTTCCCCAGTTCTGTGTTGCTAACAAGTTAAATTCTGCATGACTGTTTCTTTCTCTTTTGCTGGATCGGATTAACCCTCAATTTTTATCAGATGCATGCTACATAACGAGGTCCTCTGAAACTACACTCATTTATTGTTGCTATGATCTGTGTCCTACTGTGGTTCCAAGACGCATTTAATGTGGTGCACTCTCGCACACACATTGACCTGCACACACACATATAGACGTAGAGAACACAGATTTTTCACTCTTGCTTGTAACAGAGGATCCAAGCACAGGCAGACTTCCAGAGCATTTCGAGGGAGGATGGATAATGATTCCAAGCCTCAAGTTCAAAGGTAAACCTTAATTTCTTATAGGTAGCACATAATTGTTTCCCTTAATTAATAGCAAGTTAAATATATGTGTTATTGTTGAGAATTTTGCACTGTCATATAAAATAAATACTTTTCATTGGAGAGTAGAAAGTAAATGATGTAGATTGACAACAGGATTCTTGCCTCCATCTTCCTAATTAAGGATCAACTCCTTCCAATAGATGATTGCTCATCATGTTTCTGGCCTTCTGTTCTTGTTGTCTTTCGTATTACAAGTCCTTTTTGCTGCGATCTTAAACTTGTAGGATGCGATGCTTAGTCTTTAGACTACATTCTGGTCTTACTATGTTGCTCAGGAGTGTTGTTAGGATTCTTTGGATGATCTTGTGAACCTGTTCATTTTCTTCTGCCTTTCTTCCATTTACACTCTTCTCATTTGTTGTCTTCCAGCAATTTCTCCCTCCATTTGGTAGAATTTTATTGGGTTTCTTTGTTTCTAAGAGAATGCATGATCTTTCAATCGGATACCATCTGAACTTTTTGATCAATAAGGATGGATCTTTAAGGTATTATTACATTTACATATCTGCAAGATTAGGATTCATTCTAGTCATGGAAATAGACGATAAGATTGTATACCCGTGATTTCACAGAGGATGATACTGCGTCTTAACCATCCCCAGGTGGCCAGAATTGCCCAATTGGATGCCCATAACAGTCAATTATATCATCAGAAAAGTCAAAAGTGTTATCTGGTTCTCGTTCGGTCAATGTGACGTTAAGTCAACGATCTTCCTAAGTCGCTTTTATAACGATAATGCACGTTCCACTGGAATACTGATCACAGAAGCAACATTGATAATTCTATTAGACTATTTCGGAAAACGACGCGTGTCGTCTCACAGTATGGTGTCGGCGACTCTCGGAGTGCTCATTTAGTTCTTGCAGAGCCAGGATCTTAAACTTATTCTATAGCCTCAACCTCAAATCGACTGGCATCGACACGGGCGCGGCTCTGAATCGGGATCCACGCTAAAAGATGTCGAGCGGCCTCAGCCTTCCTCTGATCGACCTCTACTCCCCCGATCGCGCCGCCGTCGCTGAATCAATCCGCCAGGTCCCGTTTTCGAAACCCTACTTCCAGTTGTTCCAAGACTCTTAAAAGATTGTATCTTTTCGACACAGATGCATTCTTTCGCTCTAGTACTATTCAAACCTTATCAAATACGACTCCCCTATTGTACACCTCTTCGTGTTCGTCATCTTTTGCGAGACCCGTTTGTGTATCCATGTTGAGCAATTAAACTTCATGTTTTGTTTCTTTAACGCTGTTTTTGGTTTTATTCTGACCAATTAAATTTCGTTGGACGTTTTCGATATATGTATCTTTAGTGAGCTATTGAACCCATCTTTCGTTATCCCTTACACCTCCTTTAATCGTTCTTACGTTAATTTAACGTGAATCGTTTATAATCGCTATTGTGAGTTTATAAAAATTCGAAGGAATATTTTTTTTTACTTTTTCTTTGATATAAATACAATTTTTTGCCTAATATTTTTTCAGGCATGTATTGAGTATGGATTCTTTTATGTAATAAATCATGGGATTGGCAAAGGTATTTTCCAAAAGGTATTTGAAGAGAGTCAGAAGTTCTTTTCACTACCTCTGGAAGAGAAGATGAAGTTGAAGCGCAATGATGCTCATAGAGGCTATACTGCATTATATGCTGAGACTCTTGATACTTCGACTGAGTTTAAAGGCAATTTTTCATGCTTATATGTTTGTCTCTTTGGTATTCGCTGCAATATCATATTGCTTATAGGCTTACTGTGGTGTCTTATCTTGTTTAAAATGACGAAATAATTTATGTTTGATGTTCTAGTAATTGTATTTGTAATACTTGGTTTCTAAATGACATTGCATCAATTTTCTTGACTTCTATGTAAAACTAAATCTGACTAGGAAGACACATCTGGGTAGGATCTAGATGTGACGTTGCAAATGCATGGGTAGGATCTACATCTTGCGTTTCAGAGGTTCTTTGATCTAGGGTTTTTAATACCGTTTCGCACCGCCCAGTACGAGTGATACGTACCGGTCCGCCAGCTGACCGGCACGAGGACACTCGCTACCGGGCGATATTAGCCTAGTTGCGGCAAGTCGAGGCGACGAAGAAGAGGGACAAGCAACGAGAAAGAGGGAGAAGCATCGAGAAAGAGGACCGCGGAGTCACCGATGCGTCGTCACCAATGTCTCGATGAACCTAAGCTCGTCGAACCTTAGCGCGAACTTATCTTCCATGCCCTTTCTCGATCCCGATCCGACGTCGCCCTCCCTCGACGATCCCGATCTAGGAGGTAACAGCGAGGAGAGTCGTACCTCTTTGGAGGAGGAGGTGGCGGCGAGAGCGGCGGAAGAGGAAACCACGAGGAAGGTGACAAAGACCCCGACCTTCTTCATCTTCGAATAGTCTCCTTCGTCCACTATTGCCGATGTTGTCTTTCTTCTCCCCACCTCCTTGACGTCAAAGGCCACAAATGAGGCGACGAGGAGAAGAAGGATGAGTCGATGACGACGAGGCTACCACTCGGTAATCTTCTTTATATATTTTTATATCTTTATATATTGATTTTTATATTTTTATATAAAAATATATATTTTATATCTTTATATATATAATATATTTTTTTTATATATTTAGTATCGCTCGGTACTAAAATTGATTTTTTATTTTTTTTCTTAGTGTACCGCTCGATACGCCTTGGCGTACTGCTCGATTCGCCTTGGCATACCGCTTAGTATGTCGTATCGCACCGTACCGAGCAAAGCTTGGTACATCGGTATGACACAAAATTTCAATCCTTGTTTTGATATATGTGATTTTTTTAAATCAGGTAGTAGATTTGCTTTCAATGATAGATATTATTGATAGTTTATAGTGTGTTACTTGCTGTGATCGTAAGACTTTTTGTGGTCATGTACTAGAAGTAGAATTATAAATGCTTCAGAAAGTCAATAATCACTTAAATCATTTAGTTTCTTTCCCATTGATCTTAAAGAAGGCAAAGAGGCCTGAATGAATATCCGATATTCCGACAAAACAAACTTCCAGTGTAACACCTTCAGTACAAGCTTTCTAACTGAGAAACATTTGACGTAATCATGTTTTTACTACAAGATTCAGGAGTTACTGTATAGTTGACTGCGTTTTGCCCTAAATAGGACTCTCTTGAAGGTAAGATGTTGCCTATTTTCCCTTTTATTAGAAGTCTCATTCTGTCACTTTTTGATTCCATAGTTGACTCTTATTAAAATTGAAGGGTGAGCCTTTATACCATACTAAAGTTGCTCATTTGCATCTTGAGTGACCATTCTGGGTTATGGAAACACCTCTCTTCTCATAGAGCAAAGTCTGCAGACCGTGTTGGTTGGAGATTTGTGTGTTGTGCTGTCCATTTTTTGTTTGAACTCTTGAATTAAGGCACTTCAAATTGATCTCTAAATGGAATGAGTACTTGGTACCCAATTTACAAGTACACCAATGCTTGCTTAATGAGAACTGAGAACCCTCTAAATCAGAAAATAAAATTATAATGAAAAATCAGACGGGCTTCCAATTCTCTTTGACGTAACTCACTTTTGCACTACACTCAAATCTTTTGCACCCTCTCCTTAACGTAGGATAAGTTGCTTACTAATCTAATGTAGGACAAAAGCATGATGGGCAACAAAGTTTTTCCTAATATGGATTGAAGTAAAGGGAACTAACAAACTTACTCTGTTTCAAGGAGTAACTCCCAAGACCAAAGATCTTATACCTCTGCACTTTTCACGCATACGATGAAATTATATTTTTGTCTCACATCACTAACACATAATATGAGCAAAGAATTATTCCTACATTTATCAACTGATTCATCTCTTAGTTATAATCTCTTTCCTGTTTTATAGACATTCCAAGCAGAATAAAAAAGGAAAATTATTCAATAAGAAAAAAATTACGTTAAGTAAAATCAATTGCCTATCTTTGTCTTCTTTTGGGAAGACAAAATTTCAGAATTTTTCTTGGCAAATAATCTTTTCTCTTATTATATCAATGGGCATCTGTCTTTATAGAATGACGAAACTTCCTTTTAGAGATGAAATCTTTAATCAAATTCAAGCCTCATACCCTTCCTCTTTCCTTAGAATTTTCAATCATCCAAAAGATTTGCCTCCTTTTATTTTTTATTTGTTTTTCTCCCCTTCTCTTTAGACAATATTGGTATCTAATTTAGGATTATAGATGATGTCATCATTTGTATACTTATGACATTTGCAACATCCTGCTAAACTACTAGAATTTATTTAAACAAATAATAAATTAAGATGACCTGGCATCACTAGAGTGGATAACCCACTCTCCTGTCTTTTATTCTAAAGTACTGCATGTTCCATTTGCTGATATTCTTTCTCTAATTTAGGCTTGAAATGTTAATTATTTATTCACATATACATAAATGGTTCAATTCTTGAGACCTCTCTTTGATGGTCAGAATAAATACAACTTCAGTAGTTTCATAGCTTGTTTATGCTGTTTCTGGTGTCTGCTTGTCAATTCCTAATGTGAGTAGAATGCAGAATCTCTTTCTACGAGCAAAATCGTATTTACCATTTAGATTGTGCTAAAATATGATCCTACAGATCTCAATTATCATGAAACAAGAATAGACAAAATTGATAAAAGCTTGATTCTTACAGAATTTGAGAGACATTTCATGAATTATTTGAATAACCAATTATGCTCCAATTTGCTCAAACGGTGTCATTTGAAAGATATATTAATCTAGTTTCAGATAAATTAAGTTTTGTATGAATTAGAGTTTCCAGCAAGGAGTTATAAATAGTTTAGCAACCAAAGGTTAGAGAACGTCATCTCTGTTTTGCAGAATTTATAGAGTTGATTAGAACAGATGTTTCAATAGGCATTTGTACTTCAAATCTTTCATATAAGGTATAAAAAGAAATATCTATGAGTCTAGTTTCTCATGAAGCAAGTTTTGCCATAACTGGATTCTTTAACAGAGAGTTAGAAGTAAAATAGTACTAAATGGTCAGAACTTACAATCTTTGTTTTACAGATTTCATAGGGTCAATTGAAATAAAAGTTTAGGTAGGCATTTAGACTCCAAATTTGTCAATCTTGGTATCAAAAGAAATATCAATAAGTCTATTTTCGAATGAATTAGGTTTACCCAAATCAGAGTTCGTTGCAGAAAGTTATGGCTAGCATAAAGCAAAAAGGTCAAAATCTCAAAAAATTCCAGATTTATAGTTTTATTCCTAAACGAGGGAGATATCATGTGCAAAGTCAAAATCTTTCGAATTTTTCAGAATTGAGATGAAATCAGAGATCAAGATTATTGTAAGATGGGGTTAGAATACTTGCCTTTGAAGGATTAGATCCCAAATGAAAGGATTTGAGCTAAAACCCTAAGCCCCAAATCCTACCCCTTCTTCTTCTTCTTCTTCTTCTTCTTCTTCTTCTTCTCCCTTTTTTCCTCTCTTTTCCACAGTTGTTGTCTTCTCAGGTTCCTTAAGAACGAAGGCAAAGGTGTAGAGGCAATGAAATTTGTCTTTTTGTGTATTTTGCAGTTTAGTCCTTGTATTATTCATATTTACGATTAGGTCTTCAGGGTTTACAAATAGGTCTCCAGATTTTACAAATAGATCCTCAGATTTTTACAAATAGGTCTTTATAAACAATTCAAAATAGGTTCTTATAAACATTCCAAATTTGATTCTGACATCACAAGCAAATCCTTATAAACATTTAAAAAATGATCCTTACATTACAAACAAATCTTTATAAACATTTCAAAAATGAGGGATATTACACTTTATGACGAAGAGGTGCATGAGGTTTAATATGAAAGTATTTGCTTTCATGTTTTGGTGTTGCTAATGTGCTGTTAGTCTTAGATAGAATTAGATGATTGCAATCTTGATGCCAGACAGCATACTGGTTGTCATATATCTCTATACCAGGCATTGATATTGTCAGGGACAGAAGTCACACAAAGGCAGTGGACAAAGCTTTATTTACTTTGGTTTTGTTTTGTTCTGCTTGACCCAAAGCTCATGTTTGGCCCTCCTCTCCTCTTCCAATTCTTTAGGGTTTGTCATGAGGAGATCATTGCAAGGATTTGTGGATCACAAACCTTGATATCTTTATCATGTTTAAATAAATCCTGATCATTTACTGTATGCCACCTGGTTTGGGGTAGTTCATGATCCACTCTATGCTTAAGACTGTTGTGTATTGAGCATCATACACCATGTTATTTAACTATTTTTTGATGTACCACATGTATATTTTCTCTTATCTGAAAAAAAATTGATTTGGATTCGTTTCTTATTCTTTTGACAAAAGGGGACCTGAAGGAGAGTTTCTACATTGGAAGCAATTCACAAGATGATTTGAATCAGTGGCCTTCCGAAGGTATCTTTTTTTTTCACTGTTAGCTTACAGGTGAATTGGTCTTCTTTGTCGAACAGCTATGGATTGACAGGAGCTCAAGTTACTTATCTCTGGTTTTTTTCACTTTGGTGATTTTTTTCATCGTGTATACATATGATGATAATGTTTTTCTTCTAATATGGGCCCATGTTTTGGTGGTGTGTTTGTCATACTTTTCATACTTTCTCTAACAAACAAAACCTACGTTGTTTGCATGTCAGAAAGTTTACCACTTTGGAGAGATACAATGCAATCATATCATCAAGATGTGATGTAAGTTTCTTCTTATTATGTTGTCATTGTTACATATTGTAAAGTGTTGTAACACATCCTTTATGTGTTGCTTGTATTTACATTGTAAATTTCTTCATCTATGTATCTTAATTATAATTCCTGGTATTCTGGTTCCACACCATTCTTATAGTGACCAAAATTGGTATCGGACTAATATTTTAATCCTTGTTGAATTGATACTTGTGTTTGTGTGATTATTGGTTATGTTAAATTATTGATTTGAATGATAATAAGTACGATATTCAAAGTGCTGAAGATCTTGATTAATGTTCTACATCATGTTTACAATTTAGAATTGGAACAATTGCATATGATCTCCTTGAAATGTATCAATTATTATACGTGGCACTGAAATTGAAAATTTTAGAGACCATGAATTTTACCTTGGGTATTTGGTACTAGATCAGGAAGATCTTCATTAGCTACATTGTGATTAGTTGAAATCTTATGTGTTGTCAGAGGCAGTCGCTAGATGCCTACACAATCCACTTAGGTAATTTAGCTATCTCCACCACCTAGATGTCCAGTGCTTTGCAGGGTTTAGGTGATTGCCTATGGGCTTGCATGGGTTCTAGGCAGCTTCCTAGTTTTACTTAATTGCCTCTTAATTGTAACAAACCGTATCAGTAATGATTTTGCTAAAATGAGGTAATAGGATGAAGGTACTTGTCATTTTTAAATAACATAACAAGAAAATGTTATTTTATAACTACATTTTTTAGTTCTACATGTTTACATAATGAAATATAACAACAATGAATACATTATTTTGAGTTGAAAGTGAGCAAAGTCTCACAGTTCATTTCAAATGGAAGAGTTTGGAAAGTGAAAAATAAATGCAAAAAGGAAGCACAAAGAACAAACAAAACAGCCACCAGTTACTATGTCTTAGCCCATGAATGAGAAGAAAAGAGTATCTTGTTTGTCTCTGGACCACATGATCCTGGTTGCCTTCTTGCTTGTCCTTTGAATTCATTCAATCACTAATAATAATGGTGGGACAGAGTTGGTAGAGGGAGAGTATAGAATGTAAGGAAGAGCAAAACAAATGAGTGTTTTTAGAATGTAAAATTAGAGGGTCAGAAATAGGGGACAGGAGTCTAAATGGAGCAACTACCTCATGTTAGTCCCCCCTTCCTCTGCCACATGATTGTTCTGGTTATTCCTCTGTGATTAAGATAATAATTGCTATTTTGATGAGAGTAAAGTTCAAATCAAGTAAACATCATGATTAAATAGCACAAATAAAGAGATCATAACAGGAACTCAGTACTTTCTTTGCTTTAATTTTCTTATTTAATTTGCTTTAAATAGCACAAATCTAATTGGCTTGCAAGTCTTGAGGCCGAACATATGATATATTTACTGAGATTCTGATGAGCTTTATTAAATTCAGGTCTGTTGCAAAAAGGTTAGCATCTTTGATAGCTTTGTCTTTGAACCTAGATGATAATTTCTTCGAGAGAATAGGGGCATGGGATTTTCCAATGGCTTCTGTTCGCCTTTTGCATTATCCAGGTATTGTTATCAAATTCACTTTATTATCTTATGCCAACACTACTCTCTAGTCCTGTCCCTAATTATTGCTTCTTTGTTACTTGACTTGCATTCATGCTTATGTGAGGCCACTTCACGGTATTCTTGTCTAGCATATCTGTATCTATACTATCACATTTTATAGGAAAGTTTGTAATATTAACTGTAATTAACTTGTAATCCCATACGAAGTATTTAAATAAATATAAATGTTGGGACTTTGATGTTGTTGAGGTTTTGTGCTTTCATTGTGTCATGAAGCAGCAATGCAATCAAGGTGTTTGATGCTTGTCCATGATGCTTTTCGGTTCTTGTTGTTCGTTGTTTTTTAGTGTTTTTGAGTGTTTTTGTCATGACCGGGGTCTGATAGGCTAACTGGCCTATCAACTTCGTTTGGCCCAAACCACTAGCCAAAATACTTAAGCTGAAGTTGATAGTAATACACTCATTAGACTTAGGACTAATCGGGGTATTACAATCACCCTCGCTCAAGAGCTTGATGTCCTCGTCAAGGCCCAGCATAACCCAGATCAAATCCTAGCATGGTGCATGTGAGTTACAGCCCAATATTGGCTTCACACCATAACAAGACCTCTTACTCCATCCACAGGTAGCCCTTTCCTACTCGACCCCCCTCACCATGCCCAAATACTAGGTCGGTTTTAATATCAAATGTCACGACCCGAGCCTGATGGGCTAATTGGCTTAACAACTTCATCTGGCTCAAACTACTGATCAAAATGCTTAAGCTGAAGTTGATAGTAGTCCACTCATCAGACCTAGGACTAATCGGGGTGTTACAATCTCCTCCACTCAGGCTTGACGTCCTCGTCAAGGCCCAACATAGCCTAGATCAAACCCTAGCATGATGCATGTGAGGCGTAGCCTAGTGGTGGCTCCACGTCGTGACGAGTCCTCTGACTCCATCTACGGGTAGCCCTTTCCTACTCGAACCCCTTTACCATACCCAAATACTAGGTCAGCTCTGATACCAAATGTCACGACCCGGGTCTGATAAGCTAATTATCCTATCAACTTCGTTTGGCCCAAGCCATTGGCCAAAATACTTAAGCTGAAGTTGATAGTAGTATACTCATTGTCCATTTTCGATATGAGACTAATCGAGGGTGTTACAATTTTCTCGTAAGCAGCATGTACGAGGCAAAAAGTTCTACCATCAGCCCCATTTAAAATTGTTGTCAGTGTTTTTGTTTTTTGTTTGTCTTGTAAAACTCAAAAATGTTTCTTGCTATGCAAAGCTGTGCGGAGGTGAAAATAGTCAAAATAGCCCCGTCCTCATGTGCCATGGGCTGATTTTTGGCTAACGGTCTTGTGGAGCGAAACGTCATCTGTCACAGCATCCTGAAACTCCCTAGGTGGCACAAGGTTGGACGGGGCCTTAGTTATATGTCTAAGAGGTGGTGCAACGCCTTCAGTGTGTCTGATTTCTGTTCGATGAAATTGCTAAGTGAACATTGGGCTTGCACTTGCCTTCGAAACCTCCTTTGTGTACGATCGTTCAGCCCGTTTTCGAGAGCTTTTTGTGCCTACTAAAAATCGATTGCTTTGTGTTGTGATCCCATTTATCTTGTCCTTTTTGTGCCTTCTTCTCTGTGCAGTTCCTTTGTGGACTGCACGAGGTTAAGGTCTAGATTTGACTCGCATACGAATATCGATTGGGTGTTACACGCCTTAGGCAATCCCAGCTAAGGACGTGACAAAGTAGCATCAGAGCGGGTCAAGCAAACATCGAATTGTCATGGCAGGGCAACATGGCAAAAATAGCACTGGTGTACAAGAGGGACAGCAACAATGCGTGGATTATTGTTAGTTTTTTAGTTTGATTTACAAGAGGGGCAGCAGCAATGCGTTGATTATTATTAGTTTTTTGTTTGATTTAGTTTATAGTTTGGTTTCCAAGAGGGGCAGCAACAATTATGGATTATTATTATCATTATGTGTCGATTCTTTAAAAGATCTACTTTGTTTTGTTGAGTTGTCTTATTATGTAATATTCTTTAAAAGGTCATATTATGTAATACAGATCAAACTTACTATGAAACTAATCTTTTACAATATTTAGGTGAGTTGTCTGCTTGTGATAATGGTAAATATGGAGCATCGGCACATTCAGACTATGGAATTATCACACTTCTTGTGACTGATGGAGTCCCTGGTCTTCAGGCATGTCTACTGAACATGTATTTTTTTTTTCAGAGAGTAAATAATATGTATGTTTCTCCAGCTTTCCAAGGTATTTATGGATACCACGTTGGAACTATTTAGATTTGCAGGGAAAAAGATACGAATCCGCAACTATGGGAAAATGTACATCACGTTAATGGGTAAGTATAAACAAGAAGTCTCACTTTTTCTGTAAATAATTGTAAATGCTAATGGATGGACTTGCTATTGGATTTCATATTTTATGTGATCCATGGTTGGTTGCAATCTGAACGCAATCGTTTATTATCACCAGTATCCATTATGGATCCATATGTATTATATATGTTTGTGCAGAATTAGCTAAATTTCTTTTGCACGAGCATACTAAAATTTCTCTAGTGCAGGAGGTTACATATTATTGTGGAAACTATATAGAAAAAGTGCCTTGTAAATTGCAAGGAGATTTGTGAGATGATTCTCTCATGAAGAGCTTTTAAAATGGAGAATTTATGTTTTCCTTTTAACACCATCTTATCATTTTTTTTTTCAGCTTATATGTTTCACATTTCCCACAATTCACTCATTTATCTGACTTAACATGCTATTATATTTTGCTTATGGTATTCAACTTTGGCAGTTGCTCCTTATCCAATGCATGCCTGTACTCTGAGCTTGAAACCAGGGATTATATTGTACATTTCCCAGTTGACTTGTGTTTCTAAACCTAACACTTACTGATCTGCAGTCATTGTTCTGACGGTTGCATATTTTCCTACAGTTTGCAAGTGTAAATCATCAGCCATACCTGTTTTTCCACTTATTGTTTTTTTTTTCTTTTATGAGGTTCTGTACTCGTGAATATCAATTGAGAAAAAGGCCGACTTGCTCAGTTTTTTTATAAACCAGTCTAAGATAATAATCTGGCATGAATATGTCCTTTCCGTTGGCATATTTGAAAATTTGAATCACAGATAGAAGATGCCTTATGTTCTGAAATCTAGCTGGGTATACTTTTGCAGAGCTTTCATTGTTAATGTTGGAGATTTATTGGAGAGGTGGACGAACTGTTTGTTTCGGTAAATTTTCAATCTTATATACTGTTTAAATTAATTTGATTGAACTTTCCAACACATTAGAAGTTTAGTTTAGTTTGTTTTTCGTGTATTTTCTGATGTAGTAATCTAAGAGTACATATCTCTTAACCATAATTTGCAGATCCACATTGCATAGAGTCCTGGCAATTGGAAAAGATCGCTATTCTGTAATTATCTCATCTAATCTTTTATATATTTATGTAGACCTGAAAAAGCAAAATTTTGATGCACTTGATTTTAACGTTTCAGTTGTTACTCTGTGGTTTCCTGTTTTTGTTTTTGTCTTGTGAAAGACATACAATTGCCAGAAGTGATTCTGTTGAGGTTTTTTAACTGAAGATTGCTATATGACTTTGTCAGGTAGCATTCTTTCTTGATCCAAATCCTGATTGCCTGGTTGAATGCTTAGAAAGTTGCTGCAGTGACTCTCATCCACCAAGGTACCGTTTTTAAGACCCTCATTACTCTCTCTCTCTCTCACTCTCTCTCTCATAGATGGACGCATATTCCATAACTACATTCTATTGAGCATACTTATACCAATTGTTCTCAATGGTTCTTCTGGAGGTAAATACAAGCTGTCATCTTGAGATGGCATTCTAGTTGACGGTCCATATTGATGAGAGTCTAGTATAGTCTTAAAACTGTAGAATTATTTTATTTGTTTGATGAGGAACAAGCATATGCAACAGCTGCTGCTGTTTAATATTTGTCAAGGCAGATTAAAAGCTATATAAGGTGATCCATATTATAAAATCCTAGTATGTATTCATAGGATTTCTGTAAATTTCCATTATTATTAATATACTAAAAGGCGCATCAAATGTATTCCGCAAATGTTCTCCCAAAACAACTTATAACTGTTAATGTGTTTCGTATTTTAGATTCTCTTATCACGCGTGTTTGATTTGGGTCATGAACTTGATTTTCTTGCAGGTTTCCTCCCATTCGAAGCGGCGATTACTTGAAGGAACGTTTAAGAGTTACTTATTCTTAACATCTGAGTGAAACAAACAACAAACTACAGCACAAGTGATACGGTGATGTGTAGAGTTCCCCTAAGAGACCTGATTTAAACCTCTTAGTTAGCAAGAACTCAAATGTGCACTTAAATCTCCAAATCCACAATATTGTTGATGGGAAGTGGCTATTTGTTTTGTTCTCGACCAATGCTTATTTGCTTTTGACCACCCTATTCATTCCTCTTTCAGAATAGAAAGTGTACAAGAGTATTTTCATTTGTTTCCAAGAATCTCATGTCACCGTTGACATTAGTATCTTCGTCTATTCGATATATTTTGGGATAGATTTGCATATATATATATATATATATATATTGTCGGGCCACGTCGACACAAGCTCAAGCGGAACCGGCGTGCGTCTCGTTACAAGCGACGTGGCCCCCGCCGAGCCGGCGTCATGCCCTAGTCCTCCCACATGAGCCATCGACCGTCGGATCAGCGTCATCGGCGGTACAGATCTCCCTAACTGCTGACCAACCCTGCGAACTACATTGAAGGGCTGGGAAAGCTCGGAGTCTCCCTCTCCTCCTCGATTTCGCTTCGGTGCTTCACCTCCTCGGCTCATCCTCCACCGCCTCCGACCAGTTCCCCCCTCTGCATCAGGTTAGGGTTCCGTTCCTATCTCGATAACAAGTGATCTCGCCTTCGATTTCCTGTTCCCCTTCTAATTTCTTTCGTTTAATGTCGGTATTTTGGGTTCTTTGTGGTGATCTTGGGGGAAATATCAGTTCTTGGTTGCTTTTTGGTGTATCATTTGCTTGATTCGTACTATGGTCGTGTTTTCGTAGGGAAAGGTAGGGGAGTTCGGGACCTGAGAAATCGGTTATCATGTTTGGGCGTGCACCTAAGAAGAGCGATAACACCAAGTACTACGAGGTTCTTGGCGTTCCCAACAGTGCGAACCAGGATGAGCTTAAGAAGGCTTATAGGAAGGCCGCCATAAAGAATCACCCGGATAAGGGTGGAGATCCTGAGAAAGTGAGACCTTTTAATCTACTTTTGCCTTTCCTGTTCTGTTAATGGTTAGTATCCGTCGATTAATTCATTGGAGCAGTTTAAGGAGTTGGCTCAAGCATATGAAGTTCTTAGTGATCCTGAAAAGCGAGAAATTTATGATAAATATGGGGAAGATGCACTTAAAGAGGGAATGGGAGGAGGCAGTGGTGGCGGCGGCGGGTTTCACAGTCCATTTGACATATTTGAGCAGTTCTTTGGTGGTAGCACCTTCGGTGGTGGTAGTTTTGGTGGTGAGGGAGATCTCTCTTGCTATTCCTTTTGGTTTGCTTTGTGATTTCTATTGAGTATCTATCAATTGAATTTGTTTGGTCTAAAGGTGGCAGTTCGAGAGGCCGCAGGCAGAAACAAGGTGAAGATGTAGTTCACAGTCTGAAGGTGTCATTGGAAGACGTGTATAATGGGACATCAAAAAAACTTTCACTATCAAGAAGTGCATTATGCCAAAAGTGCAAAGGGTATGCATCTTAAGATCCTACACTTTTGTTTTGTTTTGTTTGGAAATTCCATCCATGATGCTCATTAGCTTAATTGGAAGAATATGTGCTATTTCTTAACTCACCATGAGCTTGTTATTGGTATTAAATGCTATAGATTTGACTGATGTATTTCCACTTTACCTTTATACTAACTCTTGAGTTGTTTTGCTAATTCAATCTAATTTGGGCATGCTTAAGTACATTCACTTTCACTTTACCTATATACTAGCTTTTAAATTGTACATTGTTACCTATTCTCTGAAATTGTTAATAAATTTTAATAGGATCTAATGCTATTAAAGGCATGCTTAAGTTTTTCTTAGGCGGAAGCTCATTGAGGTTTGGATTTCAGCCTTATCTGTCATGATCGGCCTGATAGGCCAACGACCCATTAGAATCATTGGGACTAAAAATGCTTTAGAATCATCTAACCCCATAAACAACAACATCCTCCCACTTCTGATGTGGATATACTAGGGTGTAATAATCTTCTCCACTTAAAGTCTTGTTGTTCTTGTTAAGGTCTCAGGCACCTTGCATAGCCCTGAATCATGCCTTAGTATGTTGCATCTGAGGCCCACAATGCAGCTCACCAGTGGCTTCAGACTATAATGTGCCAACATCCTGAACCAGGTGTAGCTCTTTCCATTTTGGTCCTGCTACACAGCTTAGTATAAGGTCTACTTTAAGACCACTTGTCAAGAGGCAACCTTATGGACTACAAGCCCAATAATTTGGAGGCCTAGAATAGTGATCCTGATCTTTTTGAGGCATTTCATATTGGCTTTTGCCATCCCAGATCAAATAAGCTGATCTGGATTGGGATAAAATTATTTGTGGCTTTATCCCTTAAAACCACAGGTCAACTAGCACTAGTGTCATATTGATTTAATGCCATGTTCTGAACATCATGCAAACATGGTACACATTGGACAGGCCCTTGTTTGACCCAGACTGAGTTGCTAAAAAAGATTGTACTGGGGTGATATTAGCCACGTTTCATCCAAGAACGTTGTGATATCATGTTTACGAAATTAATAATTATCCAATTGGATAGAGCAAAGATGGGTGTCAACTGTTAGGTAGTATTAATCTGTTTCATACTAGTGGAGTGTGTACAATTTTAGTTTGGTGTGAGCCACTCTTTTATCTTGCTTGTTTCATTCTTCTTGGTGGAAGCACTGATGCTCATATTATTTACACATCTTAGCATAGACGCTGGCATGTCCTAGAGTTTCTAGGAAGAAGTACCAATCAAGTATTCACAATTTTATCAATTCAGTTTATTCCATTTTTATGATAATTATGGTGCCATTTGTACCTACAACAATAAGAAGTGTTTTCGCATCTGTCATTCAGGAATCTATTTTCTGTGTTTTGTTTGTTTGTTGATCATTTCAGAAAAGGTTCGAAGAGTGGAGCATCAGGGAGATGTTATGGATGTCAAGGGACAGGAATGAGGACTGTTACTAGACAAATTGGACTAGGCATGATCCAGCAGATGCAGCATGTTTGTCCTGAATGCAGAGGCTCAGGTGCTGTCAATCTTTTTTCTTCACCTGCTTGTTTCATGTAACATAAGCATTTGCTTTAGAATGTTATTCTGAATAAATTGTTTTGCAGGTGAGGTCATCAGTGATAAGGACAAGTGTCCACAATGTAAGGGGAACAAAGTTGTACAGGAAAAGAAGGTCTTGGAGGTGCATGTTGAGAAAGGAATGCAACATGGTCAGAGGATTGTATTCCAAGGAGAAGCTGATGAAGCTGTAAGAAAGGATCATGTGTCTCATAGTTTATCTTGTTTAGCTTTAAACTTCTTGTCAATTTAGATTTTTTTTTTCCTCAGAAGATTCTACGTTTGTATGTGTTTACCTTTCAGCATGTATGTGTTTTGCTAGAAATTACAAGGCTAACTATGAATACAACATATTCTGATATTATATGATAAACAGCATTTTTGTTACTGTTTCAATTAGTTATACATTCTTCTATTTTATTTTGCATTTGTGCTTGTTGTCTTTGGGTCAGATGTTCTCTGAATCTCTTGTTACTTCTCTCCCCTAATATGTATCCTGCTGCTTGCAATGCCTTGTTTTGCAGCCGGATACGGTGACAGGAGATATAATTTTCGTCGTACAACTTAAGGAGCACCCAAAGTTCAGAAGGAAGGATGATGACCTCTATATTGATCATACTCTGTGTCTGACAGAGGCACTTTGTGGTTTTCAGTTTGTTCTGACACATCTTGATGGCAGACAGTTGCTTATTAAGTCAAATCCAGGCGAAGTTGTTAAACCTGGTAAGCATCTTATATTCATGTCACCCGAGTATATTTCTATCACCAATTCTTTCTGGTGACTTGAGATAATCTATTGCCTTGGTTTTTTTGGCATTAAATGTCACTATTCTCTTCGATCAGGTCAATATAAAGCAATCGATGATGAAGGAATGCCTCATCATGGGAGGCCATTCATGAAGGGCCGCCTTTATGTCCAGTTCAATGTTGAATTTCCTGACACAGGTGTGTTCTCTCCTGATCAATGCCGTGCGCTGGAGAAGATTCTGCCACCGAGGCCAAGCAACCACATTTCAAATATGGAACCAGATGAGTGTGAAGAGACCACCATGTATGATGTTAATATTGAAGAGGAGATGAGGCGACAGCGCCAGCAGCGGCAGCAGGAAGCCTACGATGAAGATGAAGATGCGGGTCCACGTGTACAATGTGCCCAGCAGTAAATTTCTATGATATGTTGTCTTGTGGGGAGTAGTCAGGCCTTTCCTGCTTCATTCTAGATTTCAATAACTTAACAGCATTCCTTATACGTACTGTTTAAAGATAATTGCACGCTGTGGTGTGTTGATGCTTAAACTGAAAGGTTGCTTGGTCGGTGTCATTGGTTTTTCAAGTCTTAGATTATATTAAGATATTTTGACCAAATCCCTATCCTGTAATGTGGCAGTTTATCGGCATTATTGTCTTCTTATCTTGCTTGGTCTTTGTTAGGACAGATGCAGGATTGGAGAAGGAACTCACGCAGGAGTAAGACAACAATGCAACAACAACAGGCATCATCAAATCATTATGATCTGCAGGGGAGAAGTGTCCAACTTTGGTAGTGTATTGTGATTAAAAATCATTATTTGAGAAGCTCCCATTGTCTCCTCAGTTAATTGTTCATCTATCAAATCATAACTTTAGAGGCTGTGAATTCAATTTCCTCCAAACTGTTTCACACCGTATGGTTCTTAAGTGGTTAGGGTATGAATTAAGTATGGAGCATTTCATTTCAAGTGGTCTTGTAGAATTATCTTGAACTGGATGTCTATTAAGCCTTGTGAGGAATGGTTGGACTCCATTCTCTCTCCCTCTCAATCATGGTTGTTTGTTAACCTGTCTCATCCTTCCTTTGTTGCTGTTTCATTCCCTCTGCAATCTCCACTCTCCTCTCTTCCTAATACAAGTGTCGCAATCTAGGTGTTCATTGTATATTCGTGATCTCTTTTAGATTTTTTTTTTATTGTTTTAGGTGTTTTTGATCGGTATCGCCTTTTGGTTTGTACTTCATTTTTGTAAAAAACTTTAAAACATTTTATTTTGGAATATCATGTTGTATCAACAGTATGCAATTTGTTCTATGTGCTTGAAGGGTGATATGGTATAACATTTTTAGTATGTTCGTTTTTTAGCTAAGCTAGCTAACGCCTTCGTGATGGCTATCATTTTACTTATCCATTCATCAATTACTAAGTTGACTCAATGTACTGCTTGATCACGGGATTAAAGCCTTAATCCCGAGGGTGATGCACAAAATAGTTCGTTATCCAAGAAAACAGACAATGGTGATAACTAAAAAGTGAAGTTCAAAAGAATGCAAGCGTTAGCCGTGTTGTTGGTTCCTCGAAGCTCTTGTTATTTCAACATTAACATTGGTTTGGTGTTGATGTATTTGAAGACTCTTATTATTTCAACATTAACATTGGTTTGGTGTTGATATATTTGAAGACGATATCTAGCCTTATTGGTAGAGACTATCATATCATCATAACTTCCACTCCCCTCTAAAATAAAAATAATCATTTCTAATCTCACTAGTTTTTATTAGTAAGTCCGATGCGATGCAAGGTGGTTTCCGATCTAACAAGGAACTGATACGGGTGATACATTAGTAGTATATCTTTATAAACCGTATGTCAATATAATTCAATTGTACCAATAATTAACCGATGCAACAGTACAGACGAATAAGATGAATCTTATTTGCTTTTTTATCAATATTTGTCCTCAAGTAATCAAATATGAAACTCCTTTTGAGTATTAGATGTTATTTCTTTACTGACAATCAATATTATCTGTTTTCTCTAGTGACACTTTGGAAAGGAAAATAATTGAAGAGATTTTAACACTTTATCAACTTCCAAAAATTTTGGGGCAACAGGTGCCAGTAAAAGATTAACATTATTCAAACCTGAGCATTGAAGAAATGTAGAGAGGCTAACTATAGACAATTAGGGCACAGAATCATAATCCTACCATGAATAAATAAATACTTTGCATGTGGATTGGCACAAAAAGTAACTCCACATTCCATGTATGTGACAAGGATAATAATAGCATCATGTCCCTGATTACCTGAATTCATTTTGTTCCAAAAAAATTAAAAGCCTTCTTATCAAAATGAATCCTTTCCCTGAGAATTACCAGTAGAGCAGTAGTAGGTTCAGTGGATCACCTCTTCTCAACACTGCATGTGTGAAGCCAATAGCTACTAAAACCTCATTTCAAATATGCTGGGCACAATTAACTATAGCGGAAATTAAACATAAAACCAGGATAAGTTGTTGAAGGGAACAGAGTGTTATCAACACCAAGTATTTTTGCCTCTGGCTATGTCATCTTTAACTACTACACCTAACATGATGCTAAATCATAGACTTCAACTAAGCAACTATAAGAATGATGCTAAACTGTCAGAGGACATCCGAAGCAGTCATGTCGACGAGTGGTTGTTAGGGTTTGTTGATCCGTGTCACGATGACGATCATGAACACGATGATTGAGATCATAAATGAGGACTTCACCGCGTCATCAAAAGCAGTGTTCTTCTTATTCAACTCCTTCTCTGTGTGAAAGATCTGCTGTGCCAACTTTGAGATCTGGTCAATGAACTCCATAATCTTAGACTTGGCAGTACCAAGGATCCGGCCAAGGAAGCTGGTCTTGGTATCAGCATGTTCATCTGAGTTCCCTATTTCACTGCTTGCAGATCCATCTGCCAATACACAATGTTGTAACACAAAATGAAAAAACACGAAAAAGGAAAGATGTCCATAGAATCATATGTGATAGTGTTAGCTTCTGTTTCATAAATAGTTGGGAATTAAATAAAAAACTAGATGGATATGATCAAATATAAACACTTGACACACAGTTGCCTCTCATCATCACAGGACTGGTTGACCAAAAGCATCTAGAATTTAGACATATTATGCACACATTTGGTAGCCTCGTCATGCAAAAAAAACAAAGAATGATCATACTCATATATGACATTCTAAGCAACAGTAGCGACATAGTTTACCAATCATAGATAAAGATTTTTTTTAGGTGTAAATCTATCTTAAACAGAATATATTTTTCAACCATCCACAATCAAATCTCATGACTCATAACATAAGATTGAGGATACCAAAAATATTCAATTATTATTCGTATATTATAAAACCTGTGCGGTATATAATCATTTACTATGTCACTTAACAAAGTCAACTCAATAAATCTTATCAATCACTTGTAACTCACGAGATCAAAGAAACACCATATTCATAAATCATAACCCAATATTTTACTACAAGTTCACATCAAAGCATGAAAATTTCATATTTAACATCTCTAAACTTCAAAACAAAACTTAGTTGTCAAACTTCCACAAACCAATTCCCATAACTTCCATGCATAGAAGATCATTATGACTCATCTTAATCCTCCTTCAACATATGTCAGTTCCCCTTTAGACTTTACTAAGAAATCTTGTTTTTCCATTATTTTCGAGTAGCCAAAATTTCCCAATATAACTAAGTACAATTGTCCCTGTAACTTTCCTTAATGTTTGGCATATCCCACATCAGATGATCTAAAAGGAACTCTACATGTTCACGCTTCGCTACAGGTTCAACAGCATCAATTAACCACAGTCATTTGCTATTGAAATATATAAACACATTTGATACTTGAAGTGCCTCTATAAATTAAGAGAAAATTATTCTTTCCACAAGTATGAAAACACTTCTAAGAAGCACGGACACGAAACTCGACAACACGCCATTTTTACTAAAACAGCGAGGACACGTGTATTTTATGTGTGTGTGTGTGTGTGCCCGTGTGTGCGTGTGTATATATATATATGTGCGTGTGTATAATATTCAATTAACATGAGTTTTATTATTGTTCATAATGCCTCATGTTCTCAGAAGTTACTCAAATATTCTATTTTGTTATATTAATGCAAAAACAGCATCTCGCTGAAATATCCAAAAGTTAAAACTGGTATGGGTTTCGATAACTGGATACTTGATCAGATTCAAGAACAGGCAGGGTGAATTTATGGGTACCTAACCTGTCACCTTTCCCGATCTATGTAGATTGGAGTCATCATTCCTAATCCATGTAGGCATGGTAGAAAATAAGATACTTCCAAATTCCAGTGTCTACTCAAGATTTTAAAGTCAGATTAGAATACTCTGAATCTGATTCAGAACAGGTAAGCATATATATACCAAAATAGGTTTTAACAAGTTAATCAGAATAAGAGTAGTAACAAAACTTAAGCATGTGACATTATAATTAGGGACATATCATGATCAATTCCTAGAAAGAAACAGAGGGAAAATCCTACTTACGCGACCATTGGTGAGATCATGGGTTTGCACAAGCGAGGCCGCCGGTGATCCATTCCTAAAACGAAACAAAAGGCGATGGGTCCTTAAGGGCAAGAGGGATGCCGAGGGTGCACGTCGCAGGTCGTCAAGGGCACGCGTCACGTGACAGATGCTTGACCGCCAATGAGGTTGAGGGTCGCCAGGCGTGCATCACAAGATAGGTCACGGCACGCAACGCGATTTGTCAAGGGCACAGGTCAGTGAGGTTGCAGGTCACCAAGGGCATTGGTCAAAGCTGCAGTGGCATCGTCAATGCAACTGTAGCCTATAGGTTTTGGCATTCTGCTATCGGTAGCTGCTGAAGCTTGGCTTGGAACCATTGTTGCCGCTGGCATTCTGCTCCCTCTGCAACACACCTCATTCTATTATCGGTGACAGAGGGCCACAACATTTAACGTCGAGGATCCTCCAATAAGAAATCCTCCAAAGATTTCAAGCCTCACCTTCACGTGAGGGCCTCATGAGCTCAACACCGCACACGGCAAGGAAAGGCACAGGAGACGTGTCTGACATGGATACACCATAATGCCCAAAATTAAAATTAAAAAATTAAAAACAAACACGTATCTTACATGTGTGTGTCCGAATATGTTGATGACATATCCGTGTTTGACATGGATACATCTACCAAACTGACATGTACGTGCTTCTTAGAAGCACTTATCCTTGAAAACCCTTTACCATTAGAACTAATGATCTAAAAGAATGACTAATGATGACCCTACATGTTGGCTTTTAGGTCCAAAATCACATGCCTTCTCCAGGAAGAAAAGGCATACAAAATCTTTCTTGTTTCTCTATTCTTACCATTGGTTACTAAGAAATAACTCCATGTTGATCATCGTATTAACTGAAATTTATCTACGATTGTTCTCATATATTGGATTATGTGGATCACAAGACTAATAATCATTGCTGCATCAATCGATTGAAATATTTATTCACACAAGCAAGGGAATGAATTATCAAAAATGTTTAACCTGATTGTTTATTTTCAACAAGTTAATCAGACAAATCAACTCTATTTCATTTGGACAAAGAAAATTCGGCTAATCAGTACAATTCTCTTGTACCTTGCTGTTCAAACTGCATGTTCATATATCTCAAACTTCAATCATCTCATTTCATATTTTATCTCAAAGCAGAATAAAACAATTTTCAATGTAAATTACTTGACAAACTTTTGCAAATTTTGCTGATTTAGGAGAACTTTTTCCTGCAAATACCTTCATGAAAAGATCGTCTCAGTTCCTGGACTACTTCATTATTCATTACTGCATCCCAAACAGCTGCATCAGATGAAAGCGAAACAACCATTCTCTGCATGAAGAAAACAAAAGACATTGAGAACCAAATTAGAAGTATCAATATAAGCATAACTTATAATTAGAAGAACCAATGTAAGCAATAACAGCACCCCAAAGAAGCAGCATCAGGAGTTTGCATTTGATGATGATATAAATGTTAATAAGCCAAAATGCCCATAGTATTTACGATTTAGTTAGTTAACCATATCGTACAAACAGTAGTTGTTAGCATTCGAAATGTAGCTTGTTTCTACCTAGTGACAATCAAAACTAACTTCAAGTTCATAACTACCGGGGTATGATTGAATTTATCTTTTTCTAACTTGTGTACATTATACAAAGATGTTAGGACCAAGGTATACAGTTTCGAATAATACCGCCCGTACCGAGCGGTACATACCGGTCCGTCAACTAATCGGTACACGGACCATCCATTACTTGACGATATATATATATATATATATATATATATATATATATATATATATATATATATATATATATATATATATATATATATAAGGCGATGTTGCCCCGCGTAGGAGAAGGAAAAGGCAACATCGCCGAGGTGACGCGACGTCGCCTTTTATAAAAATATATATATATATAAATATATATAATCTTATATATATATATAATCTTTTATATAAATAAATATATATATATATTAATTTATATATATATAAACGAGGCGACGTCGCCGAGGAGAAGAGAGAGGCGACGTCGCTTCGTCACCGAATTATATATACACACACATCGAGCGGTATACCGAACGGTGTACTGCTTAGTATATAATATCATACCGTACCAAGCGAATGTCGAAACTCCGATATGGTACGATATTTCAATCCTTGTAAATTGCTTCAGGTATAAAAGAAGACAAACGACAAATCACAAGTCAGATTCATATCAAAGACAGACATATAGATACATATTGTGCTTTTGGTTTCTGATATGAAAAAGTATTGTAACAAGTAACTTTAATGTGCCAAATTTGTGATATCCTTAACCATGTGATTCTAAGGGATACAAGCTTAACATGCCTGATGGTTCTAATAGATCACAATGCCACATTCCTGGTTGCTTCTTTACATAGCTGTTCTTTTAATGTTAATGTCTACAAGCAGCATCTGAACAGTAAAATATCATTTAACATAATGAAACTTGTTGTGTTACATGAATGAAAACTCCATGACTTAAAAGACAGTTTATAAGAGACTTTAGGATTATTTGCATAATGAACTTGCCTTCATCCAGGTTATTGGCTTGATAAAAGGTGAAAAATCACTATTTTTTTAAGCAACTCGACTTCCAGTGTCCGCTTGACCAGAACAAGCTAGATATTAAATAAGTTATATCAAAAAAGAGAAAAAAACAAAGAAGTAACTCTGCCTTATAACAAAGTGCCTTCGCGACTCTTATGAGTTGCCAGACAATGAAGAAAGTAATAACCAAATGCAGTGTGCAGACTGTATAAACATAGAGAAAATTCACATGAAAATATATGACACAAGTCAAGAATTCACCTGAACAGTTGCATTCCTCTGGTATAATTGAAGTGCATTAAAAACTCTCTCCTCACCTCTAGACTTTAAAAAGTTCGATTCATAGAGCTGAATTGCAGGTTCAATCCAATCAGACTGACATTCAACCGAAGACTCAGACGAATAGCCTCTATGCATTGCGCCCGGTGTAGTTATGTCATCAATTACGTCCTCCGCCAGATAAGGAGACGATCCATTGTCTGAAACCTGAGATCCATCATCAGTAACCTGAGAAATCACGGCTGGTAGCAGTACCCTAAATGCAGAAAAGAAAAGGCATCACAATCAACATGAAAAATAGAAAATTGATTATATATGATTTAGATCTTGAACCTAATAATGGAATATTACAAAAAATAAAGTTATTTAATGGGAGAATCAAACAGAGAATTTCTCACAAACAAAAAAAAACATCAAGAAAGTATTGTTCTACATAAAGAAGTGCCAAAAAAATCTCTTGGATATAAGCAGAGGTTTACTGGTTTCTAAAATCTCACAAATCGCTCATTCTTTATCTCAAATTAGTTCTTTTTTCTCCAAGTGAAGGATTCAAGCAAAAGTCCAACATCCAAAAGAAACACTTACCGTATACTTACTTGCAACAGTACCATGAGAACAGCCAAAATGAACTCGACGACGATAAAAGAAGGGCGAAAAAGGATATTTTACGCATGGATACGAAGCTTATCTTACTGCTGAAGAGTCGAGATGGCATCGTCGGCCTCCTCCCTCGACGGCGCCGTACCGAACACGTACCGCTCAAGGGTTCCGACCCCGTCGTCCACCACTACCCCCTCGTCCCACGCATGCTCCTCTCCTCCGACCCGCTCCCACTCCTCCCCGTCGAAGAGCGCGTCGCGGGAGTCACTGACCGCCCCCTTCCTCGCGGCGGAGTCGAAGGTGGGCGCCGAGGACGAGTGCGGAGACGTCGCGCCAGACGACGAGACGCGCAGGACAGGGGCCGAACTTCCGGCGCGCGCGGCCGAGAGCGGCCCTCTGACGCGGCCCGCTCCAGCCCCGACAGCGCGTCCGACGGCCCGAAGCATGTCGCCGCTGATCATTCCCGTGGAGCGTCGCATCATCGTGGGTATGTCTCCAAAAGAAAACGATGAGGACGTGAAAGAACCAACAAAAGAGGGGGAGCGGTTGGCGAAAGGAGGCGAACGCCGCGGTGTCGCGCTCTGAGATGGAACACGATGCCTATAAATGCGAAGCCGCAGGTGTGCGTACCGAAGACGGGTATCCGTCTTTGCTTTCTTCATTAATATCCTCTCTTTACAGCTGATATTATTCCAATTTTAATTGCAGAATCTCCACAGATTGCGGTTTTCAAAAGCCGATGGAATCCAATTTAATTCTAGCAAATAAATTATTATTATTATTATTATTATTTTTATTTTTATTATTATTATTATTATTATTATTATTATTATTATTATATCAAATTTAATATTTATTGATTGATGAATTAAGCCTCTTAAAATGAGATTATAAATCTTAAATAGGGGTTGTGATTAGAAGAATATCCTTTTGCATAATAATATTAAATTTTAAATTGATAATTTATTTGAAAACATGAGATAGAAAAGGTAAACATTTTTATTTTTATTTTTATTTTTAAAATTTGATGATAACCATTATATATAAAAACTTTAAATCATTGGAGGATATATATATATATATATATATATATATTAGCAGATGTGTTATATTAATATCAAAACTTGGAAGAGAATATATGTTATTTCTAATATATTAAAAGGATATCTTTCCAGGAAAAGAAACCCTTTGCGACTTTGGGTGGTGTGGCAAATCTGTGTCTTACAGCTGAGAAGCATTACGAATCTCTTTGCTTTATATGCATAATATGATCGACTTTGTGTTTGTGATGACAAAACTGTTCATCTGTTTTGAGAATACATCATCTGAGTTTTAGTAGCTCCATGGCGTGCTCTACGTGCTCAGCATCACCTGATACTTGTTTGAGCAGGTTCTGCACCCCATCCACCCATCTCAGCTTGGTCGTGCTGTTCTCACACTCGAACTCTATCGATCCTTGAGCTGTTCTCAGTCCAAAGCAGCATCTTTCTCCGGCGCGCTCAGGCCATGCTGCAACATCATCATACACGCCATAAACAACACCTGATCACCACAGGTTTTGTCAGATCATGTCAAAGCAGGTCATGTTTTGTGTTTGAGATTCGGAAGACTCACTCTTTTTCTTCTTGGAGAGTGCACCTCCTATGTGCTTGCTCTTGAGCTTTACTATGACCTGGGGATTGTGTCCATGTCACGTTAGCACAGATGATTAAGCTTTAGAACATGCGATGATGAGCTTTGTTTGATTCTTCCTTTACCTGTGACTTCCTGTTGACGTAGATCGACACTCTCTTCCAGTGTAGAGTTCCTGCAAATCGAATCGACTCGAGTTGTATGTATGATCCATTGTTGATGAATTGTGTGAATCTGATCTGGATTGAGGTGTTCTGCCGTACCTTTTCCGGTGCGTTTGAGCAGCTCGCCTTCTTTGCACCAGATATCTGGGCTGCAACACTGACTCTTCTCGTACGGGATGACGGCTGCGTTGTTCCTTGCTTCTCTTTGCAGTCTCGACTTCAATGCTGCAGCTCCTCGTAATGCTGTTCAGTGAATGAAGCAAGCACGGGAATTAGCAGCTTGCGGAACGAAGCATTGTTAGTCTTCTCGGTAGGTCTTTGAGAGGGATTTGGCGTCCGACCTGTTGCTGCTGCAGCAGTGAGGGTCATCAGATCGCCGGCTGTTTTGAAATCTACTGCTGAGCGTATAGCAGCAGCCACATGCTCGTGATCAACCCCAGTTTGCTCTGCGATCTCTACACAGTGCGACGCCAAGATCTCGGTGGCAGAGGCCATGGCGGCACTCATCTTTGAGGTCTGGTCACCTGAGTTCGACGCGGCAGCGACGGCAGCGACTGCTGCAGCTACGCCAGCGACGGATACCAAGGCATGGATGCGGGCTTTCTCGGCGCGGGCCCTCTCCTTGCACTTGGCTTTGGTTCGATTGGCTTCTTGGTGGTGAAACCACTTCCCGATTGCTGCAGGATTTATGCCGCTGCGTGGCTGCACAGCCATCAGAGCAAATCGTTGCCATGAGAGAATTCCCAAAGGCTTCATGGCGTTCACTCGGTCAAGCTAACGGAAACAAAGACTGCAAGTTTAGGTTAGTCAATTCATCAAACAGTTGGCTACACGACGCTAGCTTACTCGCTTATGAGTACTCTGAGGAGGAGCAGCAGCTGCGGCAGCGATGACCAATGTCTCCGGGATCATCATCTCCGGCAGCCGATCCACGACGAAGTTCCTCTTCTTATTCCCAGCCAGAAGAGCCTTCGATATCTCGGAAGCCGACACGCTCCACGACCTCGACAAGAACTCCATCGGCTCGTGCGGCGTCTGCGGCGGAGGTATCACCGGCATCTTCAACCCACCCTCCGACATCTCCCCCTCCTCCTCCTCTTCTGCTACCAAGTCCTTCAAGCTTACCAGCTCGTCTCCCTTTCTCCTCCCCCACAAGTATCCCTTCTCCATGAACAGAACCCGATCTCTTCTTCCGTGGCTCACTTGAAAGGTGGAATTGGCTTTGAAGGATGAAGGACGAGCATATATAAGGGGGAAGGCCACACGAAGCACAAGAAGGGGGACAAGAGGTGGACAGCGGACAGCTTCCTGCACTCCTTTTGCTGCGAGTGTTCCCTGCGCTCCTGTTACTGTGGCGACGCAGTCACCGTGCCCGTCTTTGTACGCGGGGCTAATGATGGGCTTGAGTGCAGGGGACGCAACTCGCGACGAGGGAGAGGAGGAAACCTCGGCGACAAGTGTTCCTGGTCACCCGGCGCGGCCTCGTGCGCTGCTCCGCGATTCCCTACACCTTTGTTCGGGTCCGAGCTCAGCTGTCGGTGCGGGTGCAAGAAGAGCCAGCGAGCGAGGGGTTTCCGAGCTTTGTTTAGTGCTTTCATGTGCGTCGTCGTTTTCTCGAGCGATCGGTGATGCAGTGAAGTGGGGACTTTCGGTGGACTTCCACCGCTGCAAACGGGCTTTGATACAACTGTTCACAGGTGCTCATCCTTCTCCGTTAAGGAATCCAATCTGCAGCGTGATGGATGCATCAGGAGAATGTGATTCCACAAACATGTTTGCCATCTGCGAGTGCCAAAGGAATAATGACCTTTTCGTGAAACAAAGGGTAGGTTTGCCACCACCACCATCAAAGTTGGGCAGGTAAAAGGAGGAGAGCAGACATGTTACTGCAATGAAGGCAACACAGGCAGAGAGCACCATTAAAGTGGCGACCCACTCGCTCTCGAGGGTTCGAAAACACCTCCAATAATTCTCTATATTAAACGGCATGAAGCAGACACGAACGCATGGCACCCTTGAAAACGAGAACTGGGGGCCATGATCGAACGCAGGCGCGTGAGGGAGGTGAGAAAGAGGAGCTCGGGAGCTTGTCCTTAGTGCTGCGTGAGAGGAATGGAGTAGTGACCAACTTGCGGTGGCTTGAGAGGATGAGTTTGGCATCTCAATCATGATCTTTCTCTTTTCTTTTCTTTTGTTGCTTGTGGAGGAAGTGATGCGGCTTGATGGGTTATTATTTTAGCAGACACAGTGGACCCAGAATTCTCCGGGTCTTCATGGATTCCTTTTATTCTGCTTTTTTTTTTTTGGATCTAGCAGAGACCTGCAGAAAATTTGAATGGAATTAAGATTTCGATCTCTATGTTTCAAAAAATTATGTTAACATCCCTATAATTACGAAAGTGAAACATCAAAATCTATTTATCCTAACTATAACATCTTTATAATTTACCAACAACATGATAAATGAACTTAGATATTTTATTTTGAAATACTAATATAATTTTTTTTTAAATAGCTAACTAAAATTAGTAGTGAAAATAAAACTTAGAAACTTGTAATTGCTAAATCTTATAACCATTGACTTATGCAAGATTCTATAATCAAATCTCATTCTCGTCATTAATATTGCAAAAAAACCTTCAATGATCATATAAATACAGAGTTTTAAGGTTCACAATTCTTAAAGATTTGATAGAATAACCATAATCCCCAAAAGTTTTACAATAATCTACAATATTTCTCTATTTTTAATGCATTTGTGTGTTTTTACATGTTCAAGAAATTATATATACTTGACTCAATTTGAACTCTCATGCTATGATTTTTTAATAATAATTAATTTGATGATGGTCTAGTGGGTACACTTACTTGATCAAGACTCAAATTCTCACCATACAATCTTATGTTAAATTAATGGTCTAATGATGGTACATCTTATGAGCTCATAAGAATTTTGATAGTTGATCTTGTTAGGATCAAGAGCACTAAGAGGGGAGGGGGGTGAATTAGTGCAGCGGAAAACTTTCGACAATTAAAACTGCGTTCGTACGATAAGAGCGATTTCGGTAGAAAAGCCGATTCGTAAATCACTTTAACTTGTGATCAAGCAAGATGCAGTTAAAGCAAGTCTATGAATGCAGTTTGCAGTTATGAAGGAAATCAGAATGTAAGCGCAAACTGAAATATGATGTTCGTACGATAAAACTGATTTACGTCTAAACGTCGATTCGGAAAATACTGAACTTTGAAACACGATCGTAAATGCGCAGAAGGCAGTAAGCTATTGAGGAGGTTTGCAGTAAAGATAATATGCTCAAATTAAATGCAAACTAGAGAAGACGAGAGTTTATAGTGGTTCGGTCAATCGTGACCTACATCCACTCCTCTGATTCCTCTTCCGTCGAGACCACCGGCATCCACTAATGATCTTCCTTTACTAGGCGAAGATCAATCTCCTTCTTACACCCCTTTTCTCCTTTTACTGGGTTTAGGAGACAACCCTTACAAGCACTCACTCTCCTCTCTTAAACAGAATTCTAACACTTAAGCTAGATGAGGGATTTCTCAACTGATTTCTACAGCTTTTCTTTCCTTTTTTGCTCTCTGTGCTTGTGTGTTTTACCCATGGATTGAAGGGGTATTTATAGGCTCCAAACCAGTTTGAATTTGGAGCTCAAAACTGTCATCTCCCGGAATTCCGGGGTTTAGCGGTTGCACCGCCTAGCAGAGCTCGAAGACTGAGCCTCTGGGCGGTGCCACCTCCTGTCAGGAGCGGTTGCACCTCCTGCTAGAGCTCGGAGACCGAGCTCAAGTGATTGCACCTCTGTCAGAGGCAGTTGCACCGCCCAGCCAGAGCTCGGAGACTGAGCCCTGGGCGGTGCCACTGCCGACCCAGGCGGTGCCACCTCTGGCCAAGTAATATGGGTCCGAATGGGCTGATCCATTCGGCCCAATTTGGGTCTTTTAAGGGCCCAATTGCCCCAAGATTAAGTTAATGGGATCACCTCCCATTTCTAACTTAATCATCGTGCTAACTACGAATTTCTTAAAGCATTTACTGCAACTTGCTCCGGTTCGTCAATCGCTTCTTCCGGCGAGCTTCCAGCGAACATCCGACGAACCTTCGACGATGCTCCGGCGGACTTCCGGCAAACTCTTGGACTTGCGACGATCCACTTGGCGAGTTCCAACGAGCTTCTTTGGCAAGCTCTTGGACTTCTCGGATTTGTTCTCGCAGAACCTCCGACGACCGTCCGGACTTCCGTCGAACTCTCGAACCCCCAACGTGATCATAGTCTTGACTTCGACGCAACTCCTGCTGCATGTCTTTCTTTCATCGTAGTTAATCCTACACACTTAAAACAAAACTTCGATCGAGACAATTAATCCTAAGCAATTAACTAAGTTGTCCGGCATGTCATTGGTCCCTCGACGCATCGTCCTCTTCTGCGGCCTATTGCCCAATCGGTCAGTTGACTCCGCAACTCCGATATCCTTAGCGCAATACCCGCTCTTCTTGGCCCGATGCCCAAGTCCACGGCCCAAAGCCTTCTGTCGATACATCGACCGATCCATCGGCCCGACGTCCAATCTTTTGACATGTTCCTCCGGCACAACTTGATTTTTCCTGCTTTAATTGTATCGAAGCATCCTGCGTCACTCAAAACGCATATTAAAACATAAACACAATTATCAATTGGTTTCATCATCAAAATACAAAATTCAACATATCTTTCATCACATCAACAAAGGTAAATATTTTGGGAAAAAGATCAATCTCTAATTAGCCCCTACCATTTAGATCTTACTAAACAAGAAATATAATTAGTAAAGTGCACATGCCAAAGTCATACTAATTTTCAGATGATATCATTTTGATAATAATAGCATTTTGGTAATAGCCAAGCCGCTAGCTAGTCTGACTAGTTAAGACTTTTTTTTTTCTCGAATGAGTTATCGCTAATCCTTAAGCTATTAAGAAATGAACAAAAGTATATACAAATGAACATAGATAAACCTGACTCACCCTGCATTAACAATTCTCATCCTACAAGATAAGAGCTTCAATCCTCATCATACAATCTTATAAGAACTTGATAGTTGATCGTAAGGTCTCTCATCTTCATCATTTACGATTTGCAATGTAAAAAAAATAAAAAAATTATGAACAAAGGCAAATATTTTGGAAAAAGATAAATCTCTAATCAACCACTATCATTTGGATCTTGCTAAACAAGAGACAAAAATTAGTAAAGTGCACATGTTAAAGTTTACTAATTCCCAAATGCTATCATTTAGGTAATAGCAAATGATAGAATATGCTATTGCCAAGCTGCTAGCTGATTAAGACTTCTTTTTTCAAATGAATCAATGTATCAATGTATATTCACTCTTAGTATATGAGATTCCAACAAAAAATAAGAGGTCATTTGGAGTGATCAAGTATCCTAGCTTTACAAGAGATCCGATACATGTATCATCACTTTCTCCTTTGACTCTCAATAAATTGGTTACAGTGAAGTCTTAATTGAGCATGAGCATTTGATAAGAAGCTTTAATACGCATACAGCATTTAAAAAGAGATGCAATAGGAAATTCGAGAAGCAATAAGTCACACATGATACATTTAAATTCAATAAATCTTTCAAAATAGATATAGGCATAAGTCGGATGAAGCATGAAATTTACTAGATCAAAGAACTAGTAATATGACCTTATAATCTGAACATTAGTTAGCTCCGAAGGGAAAAGAATCCTCTAATTCCTTTACAGTCTACAGATATGAACAAATGAACATATTATGATGCTTTACTTCTCAGAAACCGTGTAATACTTATCTTCCAAGTAAGTGATTTGGTTGCATAAATGACATTTAGAGATCACAAATGAAAGAGGCAGTACAACTATCCTTGATTATTCATTCCTTCCAAGAATAAGAAGCACGATCAACGATCAAGTAGTCTCCTCGTATGTCTTTTGCAACTCGAATATCATCATCCAGATATATGGACTCAAACCTGCAGGAAAAGTATAAAACTTTTTAATGACAGTGCACATATATCTATATGAAGGCTAAAAAGCTCACTCTGAAACATTATGGCCAAACTATTCATAAAGAGATTGACAACTTTGTCACGATCTTCATTTTGAAGTTTGGCTCTCTCTCTCTCTCTCTCTCTCAAAATTGTGAAAAGTTCTCGAGTAAAACCCCAAAATGGGACTGAAATCAGCAGCTGTTTTGGAATATTGCAACAAATAAAGGTTTCCACATGCTAAAATTTATTGAAAGATTTGTAACTTATGGATGTTTATTAACATAGGGATTTTAGCCTTGTTATATATATTTGAATCTAGACCTAGCACTAATATTTGATGTATTTATGTCTACTTCCCCTCAAATACAGAATGACATCCAAAGTCACTCTTCCTGATTCTTGTATATTTCAGAAAATCAAATTGTAGAGGAAAGTGGAGAGAAAATTTGATAAAAATACATGATATTTCATTTAAAATGCAAAACATATAGTGAATTTTCAAAAAGAAAGGTTTACATTTTGATAGTTTCGATATATGGAAATAGCTTGGTAGCATAGAATTGTGACTCATAGGCTCATATTCTCTAGCCTAACATAGCCTTAAAATTTCAAGAAAATTTGAGGTGTTCAAGAATGAATGCAAGACACCAGAGAAACTACATCTGACCCTTCTGTCAAGAAATTGTATTTTGCTATTATGAAACAGAATTTGAATTAGTCATTGTAAATTATCAAACATCCATTAAAATGGTCTAAACTAAAATTTAAAGCGATACCTATATCTATACTCAGTCTCACTTAATGACCAGTTTAGCCAATTGCTAACCAGTCAGGAAATGGTAGGGACAAATATGCAGGTAACGGGGCCTAATTCACAGGCCTTGTAAATGCTCAGCAGGTCTTTTCCCCACAACCCCATATAGTGCACTCACCATTGTGTTTAAAGATACGGCCAGAAAAATGAAAATTAGCATATGAAGAGACCAACAGAATTCCAAAAGTCAAAGCAGCATTACTGAATTAGCCTAAGATTTAGATAACCATAGAATTTCTATACTGAATCACATTCATGGATTGGCTGCATATGTATTCTAGATCAACATAAAAAATAAAAATAAAAAAGCATAGAATAGGCCGCTGTCCCTTTGCAAAAGCGGTAGTGCATCCGGGCAGGTTTCAAGAAGCCAAGGGTTCAATCCCACTTTTCTTTATGGCCGTCGGTTGCTCGCTGTGTGCTTCTTGTACTCATGGAGCTTATTAGGTGCGTTGTGTGCCTATTGAGCGCTCGTAGGCGCCGCCACCTACTCCTTTTCTCAGTTGGAACCCAAAAAAAGAAGAAAACAGTTATTAAAGAGTATCACTCACCATCCTTGTCCAAAAGGGGGCAGTGGGATCTCCCAATTGCTACCTCTCAAAACGGCACTGGTGAATCTGCTCCGAAGTCGAGATATTTGATGAGTTTCACAGAGTTCCCATGAGAATCCAAAAAGAAGTGCGAATTTACCTAAAGTTGACTCTTTGGGGCGGCGCAGCTTCGATGGAGGACCGCACGAAGAAAACCCCTGAAGGAGGGAAAGTGATCACATTGTTCAGCGACCTTTTCTCCACATCGATGACCTGGAGAACGTCGCCGGTGCGGGTTCCGAAGAGAGGGGCGTTCTTGATGATGAAGAGCTGCTCCTTCTCGGTGGTCCAGAGCATCCGCCACGTGCCGGAGAGGGATGAGCCGGTGGTAACCTGACCCCTCCCCATGGCGCCGAGAGCCTCGACGGCGGCGATGATCTCCGCCCGCTTCCGCGGGTCGGACTGGGTTCGGAGGCCTCTTTCTTGGTCGGCGATGAGGGCGAGGAGGTCGGCCTTAGCTCCGAGAGACGCGCCGGAGCTCGGGGGTCGGGCTGCGGCGCAGCAGCCGAGGGCCGGGTTGGACTTTAGTATGCGAAGGGAGGATGGGATGGCAGAGGGGCGGGAAGAAAACGGGGATGACATCGCCATGGCCGGTACTTAAACAGGGAGCGGAGATGAGTTGGGAAGGCAATGAACCTGATGGCGGGATCACTTTAAGAGCCCACACTTGTAGACCACACATCTCCTGTGGCATTGGTGAGATGGTGAGCCGTATCTTCTCGCATTCTGATGCATGGAGGACAGGAACCATCACCGGCCGACGTACCCGCGTTTCCCACAGGAACAGGGATGGTCCCACATGTGGATCCTCCACGATTCCCATCGCGCTCCTCCAATAAGACGGCAGAGACGCGTACGGCTCACTTCTTGATGCTCCCTAACGAGGCGTGTTCCATGTTTTCAACAGAATAGGAAACACAATATACCAAATATCATCTCGTTTTTTAGTCCAACTTTTTTAGTTTCTTGATTTTTCAAAAAGCACGTGCAACGCAAGTGCTACAGAAAACTAGATTCCCTGCTTATAGATTCACGCTAATTAGTCGTACCCGTTACTCGTCTGGCTTACCTGAATCGCGATTGGAAGCAATGCTGTCCTCGCAGGTGAGTTCCGACATCCCCGATCGCTGCCTCCTATCACAAGGTAGGTAGGCGAGACTGATGAGCACAAATGAATAGGTAATATTGCATAAACTGGAAATGTCTCAATGAAACAGTTGCATTCAGGCTTAAATATTAGAGGGGAGATTACCAAAACATAGGGAGTCTGAATTATTGAGAACCCATATGCTCAAAAGACATGTCACACTATAACGGACGTCTAGAATTCCATGTCTCATTAACATTACAGTTCCCTACGTATCATAGAAAGTGCATATATTGGATGCTGGAGAATTCTTGCATGTGGATGCAGAACCATCTAAGAAAACGCCTCAGCCGCTAAGCCTCTCGAGACTAAAGACACTGGGTGATGGAGCATCACGGGAGGCCCTGCAGGAGGAATGAATGAGGTTAGTCAGATGTTTAACATATTCTTCATTGAAATAACTGGAAACCTCAGTTTATGCTATTTTATCTTTTTTGAACGGACCAGGAAACTTCTGTAGGCTTATGCCAATTCTCGATTGGATCAAAGCAGTCAGTACTCGATTGGATCAATCAGTCAGCACAGAGCACAAAGCAGTCAGCAGGCTTATGCCAATTCTTGTTTTTGAACGGAGAACAAAGCAGTCAGTACTCGATTGGATCAATCCATTCAGAAGTAATTTCACAACACAATTTAATTTTCCTTCGCACAGTAAATCACCAAGAAAGGCTGAAAATTCACAAGCCAAAGGAGATCTCATCCTACACTGGAGAAATCAAATATAAGAGTTTGAAATTCTCTCCAATTTCTGGAGGATCCCGATCTACCTCCAATTCTCACATCTTAACAATCTCCTTACCTCATCTTAGATCTTAACTGTGCACTTGCATGGGCCCCGTTTGTACGTGTGACACGGGAGACGAGACGAAAGGATAAATATGAATCACAAGGTCAAAACATGGCAGGTTGGAGAAGAGACTGTTATAAGAAGGATGATTGAGATGGAGAACTGGAGAGAACTGGTCGCTCTGAATAGGAGATGCTTCTTTCCCAATAGAAAATGGCAATTGATTGCATTATCTTTTCAGACATGATAATGACATGCATGGATTGTGATCATTTGCAACCTTGCATTATATAAAGTGGTATGAAAAATTTTCAGCAACTAGTTTCGTTGTACCTGCCAACTGAAATTTTATAGCTCTGACTACCTTAATTCTTCTCTGATCTGCTGCTTCTGGAAGTTACTGCAGAAACACCTTGTTCGATACACTGAAATTGGATATATCCAAATAGGTTACTAGGATACAGATGTCATGAAATGACAGCAACAATCTTCTCACAAAAAGTACAGTAAACATCTTGTAATTAACTAGCTCTTTCGTGGACATGATACATGGATCCTTTATGATCATTTAACTTTTATAAAGGACAATAACTATCTTGTCTTCAATTCCACATTAGCATAATATATTATCAATTTAAATGTCAAAACAATGGCAAAGGCATCTAAAAGAATGCTATCAGCAGTTCAGAAGATGGATAAAATATGACTGCAGATGCTGGCAAATTCTAAGTTAAACGATAAGGTCTTTTGGTATTATTCCGGATAATAATCATTTCTAGATATTCTTTTCATATACATAAGTATTTGTATTATTATTGTATGAAGATCTTTTGGTAAGCTCCATAACAGTATATACATGTGTATTGTCCATAACAATATAAATACAAAAATTATATAATTAGATTACAAAAGGAATCAAGAATATGATTCACATTTATTGGTCACAATTAACACATACTTTAACAGCATATTCATCTTGTCCATTGTCAATTGTAAAACTTGTCTAAAATGACCTAATTTCAAGTAATTTGCTAACTCAACCTAAAATTTTGGCTAAGCCTCGTTTAATTGATTAATTGATTTAATTATTATCCAGTAAGATAAGCTGTTTTCTCATTGTAACTAAAACATTTCATGTTGTTTATAAACATATCCCTATTATGGTATGTTCTGTACCTGGGCTCTCAGTTGTAAGAAAAATTTGTAATGATCCAATCTCCAGGTTCAGTGGGACTTGCGCCAAATAAGTCAAGTAAATACTCATAATGAATCTACTGAAAACTTATAATACATGTGAAATCATTTCCATTTGTTGCACCATTATAGTGTTTCAAGATGTCTTCCTACCTGAAGAAGATAGCTATGGAGCCGATCCAATGTTTGAGGGAACGTTGTGGCAGAGATGTTTACAACAGTCATACCCTGCCCAATGATCAAAGGTAACATGACAGAACAGACATGACTAAGAACAAAATCGGCAGCATCGTTATTTGAACGCTCCTTTATTTAAAAAACAAAAAGCCAACTGCAAACAACAAAAATCAGAATAGTTATGCAACAAAATCTAAATTTAGGCTAAACCAACCATAGTTTTAATCTTGATAAGAATTAAAATGTGAAAATTAATATATCATATTTTTATTCGTTTTATGGGGTTGAAAGGTACAGATCATCTCTACAGATGATAAAGGAAGCGATAGATGACCTATAAAGACTGGCATGCAGTTCACAGGAGAATCTATATCACTAGACCGTGAATATTTATCCTACGAAAACATGAACCAACTTTAGGTAGATCCAATACTAACAAAAAAACACACTTAACAACATCTCCACCGGTACAACAGTTCATTACAATCATTCGTCAAACAGAACTTCAGTTTAGGCTTTTGCTATGGCTGGTGTTGTTGACGGTCATTAAATAACCTATTGTGTTATTCGAACCAGTTAAACTAGATCACTGATCAATGATTTTTTTACATTACTGCACAAGCAACCATGCTTCAACTTAGCTTTTCGAATTATGCTTCTTGACATCTTCAGGGGCACACAGAAAGCCAGTAGGTGCTTAAGTTGATATTAACAGCATAATAATATGTTTTTTTGTTTAAAAATTTAGAAAATTATCTTGCAGCAGTGATTTTGTGATGCATGACTATAATAGTGAACAGAGATAAGAATCAATAGCAGAAATGAGGTAATCTCAATAAGACCACAAGCCTGTTATTTTCTCTCCAGATAAAACATTCACATTTTTTCCATACAGTCAACAATTTATTAAAGCATAGTACTTCATTTGCCCAAGGACCTACAGACTGAGAATCTTTTTTCTCCTTCATTACCTATATTATATGTAAGCAACAAGTTGCTCTTTGGAAATTATGCAGAAATCTTGAACACAATTCTAGAATATCTTAGATAATAAAACATTTTTTTTCGGTTGAGAGATTTAATTATCAACATTGCAGCTATAATTAATAAGAAAGAAAATGGTTACACTTATCTTTCATCAATGTTTCTCTACATATTCCTTCCCCATTTTTTTTTTTACTTACGGTATAAGAGAGCAACTTTCATCTTTTGATTGCCACTCAAATAAAATCACTCATTCATAAATGGGACTACATTAGTGTCAACTAACAACAGACACTTCCAAAAGATTTTCCATGCCCAATAACCAAAGCAAGGCAAGCACAAAAGTTACAGCTGAAAAAAGGTTGTGGATGAAGGAATAAAATCTTCAACTGTGGATATTTGGGGCATATTGGAATATTGACAGTAGTGAAAAAGGGAATTCTCAACAGGATCGCTTTTGTCAATTCCAATTTTGGGACTTGGCAACAAGCCCTAGTGATGCACATCACTAATGGTAAGGAACTCCATTCCAAAGAAAACACAATCATCATAAAGCTAAAAAAATCAAATTGAAATGCCGTCTACAGGAATCCTCGTGTCCTGGCTAAACATTTTATTTGGAAGCATTAAATTAAGAGTTCAGCTTCCTTTTGAATATCTTCCCTACATTAGTTGCTGTCAGTTTATTTCATTGAGCTATACTTCTCCAAACTTGCTAAGTTGGATTTTTCATTATGCTATTTAAGTGTACTCTGTGAAGTGTGTGTCAACTTGAATAAAATAGTTACAGTTTATCTACAAACTACCATCACTCAATTTAGAACCTTGTCAATATAAGCAATGTCATCTTCAAAAGCAAAAAAAAAAAAAGGTTTACCTGTGACTCAAAAGAGCAAAGATATTCCTGAATAATTTTGAGATTGCTTATAAGCTTATTCTGGTCCTGCAAGATAAGGAGAAAAAAGGTTGCTCTTTGTCATAGCCTCTGACATGACAAGATAAAAAAAAGATCAGAAAAAATACATTGTTCTAATATCTGGTTTACATGTTCAGCTGTTTAAGTGGATGCAATCATTTTCATGCTACAGTGTTGCGAAAGCATATTCAAATGATGTAATTTTCATATCAAAATTTTGGTTGCATACATTTGGATGTATATTTCCCTTCTTCCTTTAAACTAATTTTTTACCATCATATTCTTGTTATTATGCCATGAATGATATCAGATAATCACGTAACCCCTTCACCCATTTGTTACCACTTATCATTGAATGACTTTCTTAAATGAGCTTGTCAATCATCCTAAACTAGATAAATTCTTAATTTGACCACAGTTACCTATTTATTATCTTAAAAGTCAATAACACATCTATATTGCTATGCTGGTCCATTCCACACTAAATGTGAAAATTATACTAGAAAACAAGAATTAATAACTGGTCCATTCCACACTAAATCAGCAAGACAGGTATGGTACACCAATGACAGCTACAGTAGCCAGCCACCAATTAAAACAAAGACAGAAAATATTGACAATTTATTTTGTATGCATCTGTGTGCTTGTATAGATTCAAATAATACCTACTGAGGACTGCAATCCTGACCTGCTGACACAGGCAGCTACCAGGAAGTAAAGGGAAGAAAAACAGAGAAAACAAAGAAAAAAATTGAGGATATGTGTGTATGTGTGAATTGAAATCATATTTATTGAAGACACGAAGTGAATCTCCTTGTCTTCTTACATGAAGTGAGTCTCCTCATCTTCTTCCTCTTATCTGTTTGCCTTGTGGGGGGGATTAAAGTTGCCACCACAACCCATACCCATATTCATTTTAGCCCTAATCCCTCTGAATCCTCAAATTGATTTAAGATTGCAAGACTCAGAAAGTGCATCCAACAAATTCCCAAAGAAAGCCCTGTATTATGCATTTTAAGACAATGAGTGGTACGACCAGTGTAAATGCTAGTCCAGCCTTGGACCACTAAATATTGCATGGTACAGATCAAGTGGAAAATACTTGTGTGGAGTCCATGTAAAGTGATACCAAGCCCACAAGCGGAACCAAATATTACTGTAGTTTGCTTTTGATTTTGTTGTGTTTACATAAGTAGGTCATGAGGAAATCATCCTAAAAGTAAAATATTGATTATAAGCATGCCTCTATAAAAAAAAGGTATTGATTGTATAAGAGCAACAGCAACCACTTTTAGGAAGATCTCCTTGTTTTCATAGTTTCAAGAATAAGGATGGCCGGTCCTCAGCTACGTTCAACACAAGTAAAAGTATGGACCACCACACTGGTCTGTACTGTTTGGTACAAGCATTATGTACCATCTTAATGGAATATAAAAGTATAGACCACCTAGTACTAGTGGTATACATCAAACCAAACAGTGTGATATACCTAATGTAATAAGCCAGTATGAGTCCTGTTAAGGTTGGTAAAGTTTGATAACCAGTATGCTCTGTACAGGCTAGTACTTTACCCAGATCTACCTCATTGCTCAGGTGGAACTCCTGATCTCATTCACAAACCATCAGGTGAGTTTTCTGTATAGACATGACATGGAATTGATATCAAAAATATGTAAACCAAAATTACAACTTCTAGATTGATAATTGATATCAGTAGATCTCTAGCCCCCACATCACTCAGATGTGGTTTTAGGCTTAGAGGGTGGATTTTGAAGATTTGACATGTTGTATTGGAACCATTGAACTATCATGTCTTGTTTCTTACTGAATTATGATGTATTGTGATTATCATGTTGACTCATAACTCATAAGTATCATATTTTATCTTTTATTTAAATATTATGCTCATGATATGTTATTAAGATTTTGGACAATACATATAACCATGATGCATTCTGTAGATGATAGATTTTTTATATAATAATTACCAAAGATGATATCTTATTTTTCATGGTTTGCAGTACCGATCCGTACCGCCCGGTACGGGCGGTACGTACCGGTCCGCCAGACTTTCGGTACGCGGACCATATGTTACCGTTCCGACACTGCTACAGTGCTCGGCACGCCTGAGTGTACCGCTCGGTACACCTGGGTGTACCGAGCGGTATACCGTACCGTACCGGTACTGAGCCCGGGTCGAAATGCCGGTACGGTATGGTACGGCGAACCTTGTTATTTTTCAAAACCACCAAAAACCAAACAAGTCCTATTACCAACAACTATATCGAGAGTATGAACACTTGGCATTGCACCAAGAGGGGACCAGTACAGGATTGGTACACAATACAACAATCTTCAAGTAAGAATCAAACTAGAACCACATAGCAATTTACTGTAGATTATGTTTGTTATGGAAGTGCACCATCTCTAGCTAGAAAAAATTATAGTTGCAATGTAGTCTGAGCTGCAATATATGTTTGCAAAGCAATAGTGATGGTAATCTATTATCAGCTACCTTCTGCCAGTTAAAACAGAACAGGTAAAACATAATGTGTTACAACAAAAGCAAGTCATGTCATTCACCTGAACTAGGCATTTATCTTTAACTGTTCTAGTGGTAATCCATTCCTCTAGCAGAGCCTGACCAAGTAAGAACATAGTTATATCAGAAACATGTTACTCCTCCAGAAATGATCATAACTACAGCTACCATTGCAGGAAGCCACTGAAGGTTGCAGTTATTAGTAATCTTTTCTTATTCCTAATGGCCAAAGAGAACAACAACAAGCGTAGCAGCATGTGGAGTCGAAAATTGTTTCGAGATTATATTGTTGAACTTGATGCAAGCGTTGAACTGTTAAGGAAAAAATAGCTGCTTGACTCAAGAATCGGTCTGTCCATTGCTGACTATTCAATCATGTGGTGGTCAAATAAAGCCAAAAGAAGTCCTTTAAACTTCTTAGCAGTCCAATAACCGCACCACAAGGATCCATCCAATTCATTTCAAACTTAGAGGTACAAAATGTAGTAATACATAAGTCACCTGTTTTCGATGATATTTTGCACCTTCTATTAATAAACATTATCAACTGAAACATAAAATACTGCAGATAAGTACATTGCCCGGCTGATAAAAAGAAAGATGAATACCAGCAATTAATATGTTTCCTCAGCTAATTCAGAATTTGACTCAACAAAAGACTCACCAGAAGTTGAAATCTTCACTGATGACTGGTGGTTTGTTAAAAGACATTTAGAAGGCATAGCATTTGACATAACATATTCAAATATTTGACTGAGGAATATTCAATTCCATAAAAAAAAGTAGATGAAAACCCAAAAAGAAAAGCAAGGTTTCCACTTTATTCTTCGTAACAAAATCAAGTCAATGGCTTTATACAGACAACTTCAATTACTTGAATAAAAACAAAACAACTTAAGAGTTCCCACATGGAAATATAAATAAAAATATCAGACTTCCAAGAAAACCTATAGATTGCTTCACAAGCATGAGACTTGCACCCAATTAGTGGTGTCATAAGCTAAACCTAAAAAGAGAAGCAATATAATATAAATTAACAACCATGAGCAACTAAGATACTAGTGGCTGTGTAAATGCACAAATTTACAGTAATTCCATGTTTTCCTAGATTGATTATTCACATCCATTTTGGATGGTCCTAGTTGGAATTGGTCGGTCTCAATCCTATCCTGGCCATTTCATGCCCCCCTTGCTGCCATCACTCATAAAATCCATGGAAATCAGTCAGGATTTAGTGACAATCTAGCAAATTCCAACTAGGGATCAATGGGCCAATTGCTTCTAGCAAGATCCTGGCAATTAACAAAAAGGATGGCAGAGGATGAAAATATGAAAGGAAGAAAAAAGAGAAAGAAAAGGAGGAAAAAATTTGAAGGGGTTGCATATAACCACTCATGCCACTCATTGACTGTTTTATGATCCATGGCAGTTCTCACCACTAGCAGGCAACTGCTTCTAGCTACCTCAGAACTTGAGAAAAAGAATGACAATAAAAGAAAGTGAGAAAGAGACAAGCCAGCCTTACATGTTTTTAGAAGCATATGCATGCATGTGCTTTGGATGGTGCACCGTGAAGGAGACATCCAATGCAACAAGCCAACAACTACCATAAACTCACACTACAGAAGGGAAGCATCTACTGTTAAACAAATATTATTCTGGTTAATTGGCAACCAATGAGAAATTATTGACTTCAACAATTCCCTAAAATGACAGAATGTTTACACATCAAACCTATGTTTCTGAAAGTTGCACATATGTTCCTGAAATGTCAATTTGTTTCCTTTTCCAATAAAGAGTAACAAATTGTCAAGTTGACCCATGTACCAAAGGAAAAACCCAAAACCCAAAAGAACAACTGAGGAAAGCTTTTCTTATAAGAATTGAAGCAAGGATCTTTATTACAATAACTTACTGGAGCACACTGAAATCAGAATTGTAAGGTTAGGTTATAATGCTTAATGATAAAGAATCTCATAACAAGTTGAGTAAGCATGTCAAGTTGCAGGAAAGTGAAAAATAGAGAGTTATGTATTACTTGTTAATTGTATCATGTTTGTTGATTATTACTGATTGCTATAATTGCTTATTCTCCGACATCAGTATAATTCTGGGCAGCTTATTATATTTTGCTTTATTTATAACCTTTTATTTAACAATGCATCAATTCTTCCTAGCGAATATATCAATATTTAGTGCTTCTCATTCACTATATTATCAAACATGATATGGCAAGTTACAGGCTTACAGCAAACCCCTTCCTCATCAAAAAAAAAAAAGGAAAAAAGACACACACAAAAGAGAGAGGAAGAGGGAGACAGGGAGGGAGAGAGAGAGTGAGGACACAGTCCTAACTATGTAACATAAGAATAAACAGACAATTCTATAATGAAATCAATGATAAACTAGATAGACGAATCAAACCTCAAACCTAGTTAGCTGTTATCATACATGGCATCTAATAATGTACAAACGGCAAACATTTCCAACACATAGCCAATGATAAATAAGAAAGGAAAAAAGGGAAACCTTGTGATCAAACTCAGACATCTTCAGAACTATTGGTACGATTATTGGTTCGGTAGCTGATTTTTCTTTTTTGTAAGAGTTACTACTTTGTAACTCTGAATCTTTATGAACTTCGCCTGAAATTTCATAAAGAGCATTAACAGAAAATAACATGGAAAATTGCAGATATGGAAATTTCTTTTTTTTTTTACTTTTTTCTATACCTGTGAAATGACCTTTAAGTTATTATCATGGAACTCCTTGTTAGATAAGATGTTATAATCATTATCCAGAGTTAAGATACTTATAAACTAATGAAGACTAATGAGAAAACCTTGAGGTCCAGAAGCAATTTCTGCAACACTAGTAGCTCTTGAGCAATTGGTAACCTCAGTTTGAGAAGCATCCCTCTCATCCACAGTTCCTTCAGTTACTGAGTAGGTCATAGTATTCTCAGCATCACTTGCAGATGCAGACTGGCTCTGTTCGGTAGCATTATCTAGTATATTTTCCACTGGTTTCGCAGAATCCTCCACCAAAGTTCCTGATTCTCTGTCTTTTGTATGGGAATCTTTATTCTCCTCCTCCATTAGATAAATACTTGGATCCAAGTGTATACCCTGAAACAATCAGGTAAGACAAAAACACAACCAATTGTAAAAAATGAATGAACTAGTAGAATAATAAAGAGAAATCAAACCCTGATTAATTTGGAGAACTCTTTGAATTTTAAGCAATTTCATTTTTTATAAACCAATACCTGATAAATATAATTAAGTTTTCACTTCAAATGACGAATTTGTCAAAGTGTCATGATACAACAATCTGAAATCTAATTAGATTACTTTCTCTACTAATGTGTGCTATTTTCAACATCACTGGATGGTTTTATATACCAACAGCAAACGAAATGCTTTAGTTGCAGTCTGCTCAAGAATTGACTTTATTAGATTACAAAATAAGATGTTCAACGGGAGACAATTAGATCCACTAATTTATTTATGATTCGTAGATCAGCCAAGTTGAGTTATTATTGGTCATAACCAACCCAATTCCAGCCGATCCTCAACTGAATCAGCCAACTTTCAGCTACAAACTATCAAAGGACAAGATGAGGACGGCTGTCATAGGAGAGGAAGAAAAGCAGTTTGGAGCAGATGTGAATGGGGAAAGAGCAACCTCTAAGGCCACCAATCACCTCCATGAAATGAATCACATGCCAACGACTGAGAACACCACTCGTTGCCACTGAATTCCCTGCTTTCTGCTGCCACACTTGCTGCTTGCCATTGACAGCATGCAAACATGAGAGAGGAGCGAGGTGGGAAGGGTTGGGACTTGGGAGTTACTTAAGCTTGAAAATTGAAACACTTGCAGGGGTGTTACTTCTAAACTTGACATGATAACAACCTGAATTGGGGGAACAAGGTTTACTAAACAACACATACCGGCCATTACAAACAGGTGTTAATAAATCTGACAGCCAACCACAATGTGAATCACACGATTTCATCCAGTTGTATTTTGTAACAATAACATGTTTACCGCATAGCTCACCATACCAAACTTACTAGATGGTCAGCAGGCTATTAACAGTACTAGGCGGTAAACAGACTGTTGCATACATTTTTATTTTTGATGGTTGTGGTAGATGTCCTTTTTTCTCTCTTTTTCAACTTTCTCTTCCTCTTGGGGGCTTTCTCTCACACTCTCTTTCCCCTCCTCTCCATCACATCAACATCGCCTCCACCTTGCCCATGTCTGCTGCCACCTCCTATTCAACCCCAACCCCCCATCCCTTTACCATTTTTCCCCCTGGTTTTAGGTGGTACCGACCCATAGCATTGATCCATAGTGTTTTTTTTACCAGTCCAACCACCAACTTGTATCAACATTGGACCAAGATTTTAAACTTGATTGACAGAAACTTGAAATTCATATGATGTGAACATACTTAATCTAGAAATGACATATACAATAACAACAACAAAGCCGTGAGCCCCGACTATTTGGGGTCAACTACATGGATCCTTCACTGTCAGTGAGATCTATAAAAAGTTATAACCAGAAATGACATGATTAATCAATTTAAAGAATAACTAAATATTAATCTTTTAATTGATGCTAACCAAGGATTTTAATTTCGAATGATATCGCTCGTAACGGGTAGTACCGTCGATTGGGGCTATTTCCGCCCCGTTACCGCCTGAAATCGATCGGTAACGATTGATTTCGACCATCGCTGCCCGCTACCGAGCAGTATTAGCCGAGGGAGAAGGAAGAAAAGGGAGAACCTGGAGATCCGACACCGCACTCCCTCGACGATCCCGATCCGTCGTCGCCCTCCCTCGCTGGACGCCGCAGATGAGATGTCGCCTCCTCTTCGTTTGAGGTAACGAGGCCTCGGGGTCGTCGACGACTTCTCATCCGCGCAAGGAAAAGAAGCCTCAACAACGTCACCGAGGCTTCGCGAGGAGAAGAAAACGAGGTTTCTTCTCCCCACGCGGGGAAAAGAAACGAGGCAATGTTGCCTTGACGACGTCGCCCCATTTTTTATTTTTGAATTTTTTTTATGTATATATATATATATATATATATATATATATATATATATATATATATATATATATAGACTGGTATGATTATACCGTACCGTACCGAGCTAAGCTCGAAATGTCGGTACGGTACGAAATTACGAATGCAGATGCTAACCTGAATTGACATAATTAAAACAAATACGACCAACACAACACATCAATACCTCTAGATACCATACGTTGCAAAATTTTCAACTTTTAGGTGAGAATCTTCTTCAAATTAACTTTAAATTACAACCATTTGATCCTCACATCTAAACTGTCCATTAGCTTGAGCCCCATCCCATGTGAAAGATCAGACTCATACAATACTCTTGGCCAAATAACCATTATAATAATCAACGTATTAGAAACCTGCCAGACCCGCATTCTTGTAAAATCTTTCACAGAGCAACAGGCAACAGGGCATATATCTGGTGGAACTTAGAAGTACAGACTCCATATGCTATTGTCATAAACTAGTATGTCCTGTATAAGACCTACCATACCTCAATTATGATAGGCTTCCCATCTTTCATCGCCTTCTTCAGATCACCAGCCAAGCCTATCATCAAGGTAAGTATATTTAGATGAGCAAGAGGGAAAAAACTTGATTAACAAGTTAAAGCAATCTTCTTTATGCATACTGTGCATTTTACAGATACCAACTTGGACTTGGATTTTACAGCCAGGAAACATCACTAGCTACCTTTACGAACAATTCTGCATTCTCTGCAGAACTCTGTTATAAGCTCTTCAGATGAATCAAAATCTCGAACCCAGACTGGTGTAGATGTCAATGGAGCACTGCAAGCAGTATCAGAAGAAATAATGTTTTAAATGTTCTAAAATATGAAGAGCAAATAGTGCACGATCCTGATGCCTTAATTTACATGTGATCCAGGTAATTACACAAAGTATGATAATGCAAGAAAAGTCAATATGAGTGACTACAACAAAGAGAAATTACAATACACCATACTGCCATAAATAAAAAAGTTTCTAGAAGGGAAACAATGATATCTTAATTGTAGATGAAGTGCCTTTTGACTGGCGTTTCATAAGAGCTCTCTTTCTTGTCTTTTTTAAATATTTCAACTTCATATACAATAGTACCTCACAGAAGACACAGCATATGAACCGAAAAAGAAGATAGATAGAACTCTAGAAGTACATAATTAGGATACAAACCTTTATAGTATTAAGTATTAACATATTATATAAAGCAATAATTCTACCAAAATTCAAAAATCATCTCCAAACAGTAAAACATTTAAACTCATCTTTAAATTACCATACAAGTTAGAACTCTTTCATATTGGACACTAAGAATAGACATTTTTATAAACAACATTTGAACTCATCCTTGAATCACCGTGAAAGCATTATATATATTATAATATCTCAATCAATCTTCCGATTAAGTAGTCCTTTCCCCACAAAGTTTCACCAATAGTGTAGTTAAATTTTCGGCTGCAAATAAATGGAGTATCTCAGTTCATTGATAAGGTGTCTAGATTTTTAATGTGGTTATGAAAGTAGATAGAGGTTAATCCTCTACAAGGTGATTTCAAGTTTGGTGCCTGGCAAGTCTCAACTTTCCCAACATTAAGCAAATTGATGTTCAAAAGTATAATATGGGTATGCTGTAGTTAAGCTAATATCAAATGGACTGCAGTTAAACTAAAATGATTTCAGAATGAAAAGAAAGTGCTAGTGGGTCGTAATAGTCAGTTGTTAAGACAGTTGCATGTCGCTCAGAAAAGTTACACGGTAATGAGGTATTGTTAAAGTGCAATGGATGTCAGATGCAACAAAATAATATCTACTGTAGTCTTATGATGTTATCCAAAGCAAAATTGTAATAATGGTTTTAGGCATCTTCCCATTTGAGACTAAAAGTTCTGATTCATGTCCCTCACTAAGTGAATTGCTTGAACAAATACATCAATTCAAGACTTCAAGTGGCTAAGGCATGAGGCTCCCTCAAGTGACTACTTTAGTAACCGATACAATTCTTACAGATTCAGATTTCAGTATCTAGATTTAAAGCAAAAAAGGACAACAGCAAGAGGATTCATATCAAGCCTGCACCATTCAGTTAACAAACTGGCAAGAACTTTACAGAATTCTAACATTAAAAATATTGATTCAAATAAAAGAGGCAATATAAATGATAAATCACTCACTCTGTTGATGTGCGCAATAATTCATACACCATATCTGTCTGCAGAAGAAATGTTACAACATTATTCCACAATTTTCAAGTTGTTATCTTAAATAAAACCAAGTTACAATCAGTTATGAAAAAATGACCTGCAAGACATTTGGTAAATTTAGTCTTTGAGCAAGTTGTGTTGCAATTGTCGATTTCCCAGTACATGCAGTTCCACATACAAGAATAACTAGTGGTACTCTTTGGTGATGAAACCTAAAACAAAATGACCAGGAAAAATAGAATAAAGCATATGATTTACAGAATACAAGGAGAAAAGAACTACAGACTTAAACTTGAAAACAAGGACAAATTTAATAGGCAAAAAATGAAAATTATGTTTTACGAACTAAGCACCTTTAACATGGGGCATATTGAATACGAAGTAACATGGTAATTTAATGTCAAAACATTATAATAAGCTTTTCCCACAACCTGAATGACTCTTTTCAAAAAATTGGTTTGCTAGCCAAAATAGTAATTGGAATATGCAGGCACAAGTGTTTAACTTGGATTGTAATACCATGTGACAGACCGATCTCGGGCCAGTACCATGCCATACCAGGTGTTGGGACACTTAGTACAACCTGCTGGTTTGGCCAAGCATGCCAAAACAACAGAAGTACTTTTTGTTTTTAATATTTTTGTAAAAATAAAGCGTCACTTATGCTACTTGTCTCAGGAAAACTTAACATCTAATATTTTATGCACATGTCATGAACAAGCATATGAAGTAGGATAATAAAAACATGATACCAGTAAAATATGTCAATAAAGTAATATAATTTAACAAGTCAAGCAGACAATAATGCGTTAGAACTCAATTGAAAACAATTCATAAATACCCAACAATCATACAGAATATATCAAAGCAAAGCAACTACATAAACCTAAAACAATATCAAGTCACATGGAGGACTAAGAGTGTACCGACAGGCGACAACAATATCAGAGTTGTAATCTTGTTTCAAACAATTTTGAAATTGATCCTATATCAACTCATGTTAGTAGATTGTTTGAAATTGATCCTATATCATCTCATGTTAGTAGCCAGATATCTACTGCATAATGTTCATGAAGTCAAAAGCTACACTTGAGAAATGGGCCTGATCTGGGGTTGGCTAAGCTAAAACAAGATACACACTGGTACCAATCTGTACCCTATAATGAACTAGGCATATCATGGAGAAATGAGAATCAGAACTGTAATTAGAAACCTATAAGATAACTGAGACCAAAACAGAAAAAATGTCTGGAGAATCAGAAAAGATCCTCTTAAGTCTCGAGTACTAACCAGTTACTTTTATTATTTCAATGCCAGTATATTATTCTATAATATCTCAGAAAGATGCACTAATAATAGCATCTAGATGACTGGATCTTAAATCCATAGCATGATCTTAATGTTTTGCGATTTTTGTAATGGTAAGAAAAATGGTTTCATCCAGGTGATTTAATTTTGGCTAGAAGCAGGCTATGTATTAGTAGATTTGACAAAAAATCACAATGAAAAACTTGGAAATGGTACTCATGCTTAAAGTCAAAGAACTTAAAGACAACAAGCTATTGGCCAGATGAAGCATGTAAATGTAGGCTAACTGCCAAAGTGACATGTAAACATGGAAATAACCATTCCAACATAAGTCAGATTTTCCCTTGATACCAATATAGGGCAGTTTAGACATCAAATTGTCACAAAAAGTGAGCATCCTTGGGCACATTAATCTACATATTTCTGTAGATTAAAATCTTGGTCAGGTACCGATACTGTCGACAGTAGGATAGGTACATCACCAGTATGCATCAGTGTACCAACACTCGGTACATCTGTACCATTAGTTACTGCCTAGACCGCATAGTGAGAGTGAGAAAGAGATAGAAGAGAGTACGAATAGAAGGAAGAAGCCGATGAGGAGGAGAAAACAGAGGAGGTGGACCAGGAGGATAACAAGGATAAAGACTGACAGGAGAGAAAGAAGAAGAAAAAAAATACAGTTGTGACAATTGTCAAAAACTAAAAAAAGAATGGTACAGTTCAGTACAGGTCTGTTCACCACCAGGTGGTACATCCAATACAATGACTTAACTAGGTGGCACAGCCCATACCGGACAATAATGGGAGAAATTGCTAGTCCATGTCTTGATTGACTGTTGAACCAGTAAATACTGACTCATAACAACTTATATGGATGGTATCTTCAGGTTTCAAAGATCAAACTATACAAGTACAATAAAGGTGTCGAGACATATGCAAAATAGTTCAAAAGCAACAAAACAGACAATGGATATGTCATATAATCATCAAAGTACAGTTACAAATGATGTGCCAAATAGCACATTAATAAGATCAAACTTATCAATTTGTTACAGGGCATGAATCCAGGATATCTTGAATGCATTTGCTGCCCAAAGACTTACCTGGTCATCATCTTATAACGGTTTATGTACTCTTCTCCATAACCCCTTCGCAGCATAAGCTGCATATGGATACAAAAAATCAATTGAAATATAGAAAATGTTCAAAAAAAAGTGGCTTTTCGTTAAAATAGGAAATCATTATCAAATGCAACAGAAACATAAACGAATTCGTTAGCATATTTGTGAACTCTATAGCAGGGAGGATGTTTAATCCATTTAAGCAAGTAAAACAGCTTCAACTTAATTCATTTTTCACTTTTCAGAACTGTATTGAGTCGATACAAGACAATCTTCTCAAGCAAACAAGAACCACAGAAAACTCAGTCATAAAACAGTAAATTCTTATTATTCTTCAGCAAAAACAAGCAGTGAAAACTAATCCAGAATATGTTTTGCACTGTTGATATATAAGTGGGAGCAGGGAAGAAGCTATACATAAATTACATAGCCCAAGATGATCAGATGATCATAGTTTCTACTTTCTATGACGTTTTACAGTTCATATATCAAAGAACAAACAAAAAATTTTGATAAGGTAGCAGGTGATGGATAAACTAAAAAACCTCACTTTGTTTGTCTAATTGATAATATGCTTTAATTGCCAACAAAATTTTAAAAGTAAAGAAAAGGATTAAAAGCTGAGGTAATACCTTAAAAAGATTAGTTTCCAGATCAGATTGCGAACTGCAAAATAGTTAGGATGAACAAAGCTATAAACAATCATGTTCATGCTTAAAAAATAGCACATGTCAAGAAGCATGAGTTTTGTAAATAAATTAAGAATATACAGATGAAACCAATAAAATCTTGTTTAACCAACCCAAAGGAGCACACAAACAAAAAATGGACTAATTCTATTTGCCTTCATGTATGAAGACTATTTCCCTTATAAAACTTGAGTTTGACTTAAAGAAGAGGTTTCTAAACAAAGGTACTTAATTAACGTACAACAACATGAAGAAGAAGCCATTAGACACTTAATTATCATCCTTAACAAAAAAAAAGAAAATGCATTTGATGAATGAGGATTCATTTAGATGATGTTCAAAGAAAAATGATACTTAAGAACACCAACACTGAAATGATCAGTACAATAACCTCTCCTTTCCAATACAAGAAGGTAATAGGAAAAGGAAAGGTTTTTTTTATCTTCACAAATATCTCAAAGTGCTAGGATTTACATTCAAAATTTTTCCATCAAGAGAGAGTATGAAGTGCAACTTGTGTATGTTCCCCAACAGGACATACTATCTTTCATGACAACTAAATTGATTGCAAAATGAATAATCCCATCTGTGCCAATGACCCAGGGTTATGACATAAATATCTTTCTTGGTGTCTTATTTGTAACATGAATGTCTATTTCAGGTAATATCCAAAAGCACATCTAAGAGTAGATATAACATCAGAAATCATCTCCATTATAATGCCAAAAACATGAACAATCTAGAAGTATTAATGTCAATCATAAACAACTAAATTGAAGAACATAAATGGATCTTCTTTGGCATATTGGTCTACACTTGGCATGGGATGTAAGCTTGTTTCATAACAACCACACAAGGTTGCAGCTATACTATCCATACTTGAACAAACAGACAGAATATATCTCTTTCTCTTAATATTGTTCCGTTTAATGGAAAAGATCTAGCATGTTTCTAGTACACCTCAGACTTAAAACTGATGCTGGAGATGGCATTCAACAGATGTGAAATCTTAGTTCTTTTCCTATTTCCAGATTCTGAATGATTTTTTTTTTTTTGGCACACCAATTGTGCCTCAGCTTGCTGTTGGCACTTGATTGTGTCAAGTGTTAGTGCAGCAAGGAGGTGCCCTACCATGACAAATGGGGTGGCAGTGGCACTATCCCATGCCATCAAAGGACTATTGTGTTCATGTTAAAAACCTCAAATAAAAGAAAACAAACAAAAACAGGTTACAAAAGCTCACTGGCAAATTGATGGAAAAAAGTTGAGGATAGCATACACATCAAGAAGGCTATTGTCTACAAGCAGCTTTTTGAGTTCAAGAGCAATCTTGATAGCCACATGATTAGGAATCTGAAAAGTAGCAATTCAGAGTTAACAAGATTCTGTGCAAGAATAAAAAAAAAGGGAGAGAGACAATGACTAAAAGTGTTTAACAAAAGAAAGAAATTTAAACTAGACAACAAAAACAAATGGGGTGCACTATTGTGAAACAACAAAAACAAAGCTTTTCAAGTATATTTAAAATTTTTGTGCCGCGGACAGCAACTAGACAAAAAACAAAAAGATGTAGTAAAGGAAAGAAAAGCTGCTGCTAGCATCATCATCCACAAAGCAAAACGACAAAGGATCCATTTATTTATTCAAAACCCTTCAATAAAAAATTAGGATGAAATAGACATTTAAACTTGAAAGTGAAAGCACTAATATATTGACCCACTCATAACAATCATAACAGGAGAATACAAGCATTGCATCCAACTAGAAACCGATACTGTACTCAATTCTCTATCAAGAAAGGTTCATAACTTCATACTATATTATGCCTAAACAGATACAGAACAAACATATCTGCAAGTTAGAAAGTCAATTTGAATTACCTCAACTAGAATGTCCTACAATTTACCTTTAGTAAGAGATAGCAGTTTAACTTGCTCTAGATCAAATAAGTCATCTAAGGGTCAGCTACCGCATGAGGCCAATGTGGGATGAGGGTTAATATATGTAACCTTATCCCTGAAATCAGAGGCTGTCTCTGTGGCCCATATCTTTGTCACCTAAATTGCAACGGACTAACTTTACTGTGGCACCAAAGCCTGCCCTCTAAATTGTCTCAGTTTTCTGGACAACAAAATTACATGAATATGTCCTATTAGGAGAATTAACTTTTAATTAGAAAACCAGCCTTTTTTCATAAAACTTGATGGACCTTAAAGGCAAGGTTCGTCATGATGCCCCATACCGAGCGATATATGTGGTACGTACCAGTCTAACAAGAGATTAACACGCGAACCACCTTGTACCGGGCAGTCCATAACATGGGACCCCGTATCGGGCAATACGAGGTCTATACAGGGCAGAACGATCAAAATCTAACCGTTAACGATGAAGGGTTGGGATTTATTGAATTCAAACGATCCATTTAACCATTTAAACCGGATCTAAGGGTTTTTGAACTGATTCTACCCTCTCATTCAACCCCTTTTACTCTCTCAAACTTTTCTACTCACTCAAGCTCTTTTATGGCCAACAGCAATATAGTGATAGTTAGTCATTCTTCTCCGAGCAGTAGTATGGTAATCAGTCTTATGATACGAAGCAACAGGTCAATGACGAAAGTAGAAGTTCCTGCGTTCTCCAACCTTCATATTAAAACATGCCACAATCATATTTGCCTCGGGAGCCGTCTCGAACACGTGTGGTTCATGATAATTAGACAACGACCATCACCGCATTGATGCACCAATGACATATGATATATTAGCGTATCATGTCGTGGGATCAATTTTAGAATTGGATCCGAGAAACATACCATATTAATATATAGACACATAGGATCGAGGACCATGATCTATCACCCGTAGAATCCTGTCATTATTTTTGGGGTAGAATCAACCTTATGATACATAATTAGATGACCGTTGGTATCTAGAACTATTAATGTTGCAGATAACCACTGAAAATGATGGAAGTTCATAGTTTCCATCTCCCAAGATTAAGCTTCACCACAAAGGACTGGGTTTCTAAATCTTTATGCTGTATGGTAATACTCCCCAACTTTCTCTATCAATATAGTACCAAGATCCAAAAACCCTAAAGGAACCATCACAATCAAGAAAGGAAACAAATCGACAACCGCAACCAGTTAATTAATTACCTTCGTTACTGTTAACATCCTGCTAAGAAGAAATCTGGACAGAACGTAGTAATGATCCGCATTGTCCCCCAACCATACTTTCACCTGCCAGGCATTAATCAAGGATCAAATCATAACAAAACCGAGATTGAGAATTCAAATCTAGATCACCAAAATCCTCCTCATCTCTTGGTTCGTTCGAGGTGAGAATTAACCAACCTTGACGAAGTCGTACTTGGAGGAAGCGTTTCGGGAGGGCAATCGGGCGGGGGGGTAAGAGGGGGAGGGCTCGCCCTTCTTCTCGACGGACGGCTCTCCGTCTGCCGCCGTCGTCGTGGGAGGAGGAGCCGAGAGGGAGACAGCGAAATCGGACTCGCCCATCCCGGAACCGGAGGCCGCCATGTCGCCGTTCGTTACCTCCTCGGTGACGTCGCGCGGCACATCACAGCCGATGTCGCGATTTTTATCTTTTTGGCAAAATTGTATTGTATTCCCCGTTATCGGTAATTTTTGTATGTATTCCACTAAATTCAAATTCAAGTAATTAATAATACTATATATATATATATATATATAAACATGTCATATGCATTAACTGCAACAAATGTCGACTATTATGATGACAATAATAGTAAAAATATATTTTTACATCTAATTACTCAATAATACTGCAAATGATTTAAATTTTTTTACATGGATAATTAGTATTTACAAAACAAATTGTATCGGTTAACAAACATTCATCTATCATCGTCTTAATGCGATGGGAGAAACTAATATATTTATAATATGGTCACTAATTCATTTGCCATAAGGAAGTGATTATTTATTTTATGAGAGTTGCAACTTGTTGTCATTTAAGTCATGGGCAGATGCATGAAACTTATATATTATATTATATTAGTTTTATTTTATATTATATTATATTTTATTTTTTAAAAATTTTAGTTGGCACTCTGACTTTTAAAAATTTTTGTAAGTATTTTTTTTTTAAATAATGATATTATCCTTTAGTTATTGTCACCCTTATCGAACTCATCTCTATTTTTACAAATCATACTAACTCATGGATCTATAAGCAACTTATATCGTTCTCACCCATAATATAGGCAATTGTTAGCTTATATCCTAACTCTCCTCTTCTTTATTCCGTCGAATCTACCTCTATTTTCATAACTATAGTCTTCGCCACTTGTACTTTTATTGTTGGCCTCTTATGTTACAAGCAACAACAACTAAGGCAATGTACGAAGGATGGGTCTGACCAAAATTAACGAGAATTCATAAAGACAAAAATGGATTCGACTAGATAGAAGGGGAGAGAATTAAATCGATAAAAATCGATAAATATCTACGAAGGTAAAAATAAGTATGACAAGGATTAATATATGTATCAGATGAGAACGGAGGTGACGATGCATTTGACAGATATAAAGGTCAAATAATTTTTTTATATAAATTTTTTTTATTAATTTATTTTAAAATTTACCTAATTTAACTCTGTTGAAACACAAACTCAACTAATTTCAGGCAATTGGATTTGATTCGGGCGACTAACTACTTAGGTATTTGATTTAAAATCTGATTCAGGTATCTACTTATTTATTTAGATCCATCCGTTTTGATGGTGACCAAAGGTTGGAGTCAATTAGATCCAATCAAGGAGAGGAGAACCCCATGCGCACTGATTCACAAAAAGATCGAAGGCAAGAAAACACATCCCACGCGCGCCGGACCGCAAGTCCCGAACCAGGTTAGAAAAGCCGTGCGCATCTCGGCGTTCGCCGGAAGCACCGGGAGCGCCTAACCACGAACCCGAACACACTGTTCCCAAATAGAAGCTCAGCCAGCAGGGCCTCCTCTCCCGCGCCTGACATGTGGACACGGTGCCGGCTACGTGCCCTGCATCTGTGCCCTGCGTCTGACGTCGAAGCCATATCCTCTCACCGAATCTTACCCAATCACCTTCGCGTCTCCGTAACATCGCACTGCTCTTTACTGTGTTGTGATCTGCATGATACAATTGAATCCACTCGTTTGCTTTCTTCCGTTCTCTCTATATATGGTTGTGTATGTGTGTGCTCTCCCCCTCTCCAAGCGAGGAGGAGGAGGCGGAGGAGAAGCAGCAGTAGAGATGAGCCAGCGTGTGCCGAGCTGGGACGTTGATGATCCGCCTTTCAACCCTTCCTCATCCAACCTTCCCCTTCATCGTTACCACCCTTCTGGCGCTCCTCTCGGCCGTTTGTGCGCGCTGCTTGCTCTCTTGCTCTTCTTTTTCCTTGATGTCTTCTTCTTCTGTAGGTTCATGTTGTGGGTGTTGTGGAGTTCAGGATGGGCTACGAGGTGGCGGAGCTGGCGTGGGAGAACGGGCAGCTCGCGCTGCACGGCCTCGTCCCGTCTCGAACCGGCGCCAAGCCCGGCGCCGACGCGGCCTGTAGCAAGCACCACCTCCACCACCACCCCAGCGGCACCCTGGAGTCGGTGGTGAACCAGGCCACCGGCGCCGCGGCGAGAAGCCCTGTTCTCGAGGGCTGGCTTCGTCGCTCGACTTCCGTGGCGGTCGACGCGCTCGTCCCGTGCCAGGACGACGTCGCCAGCAACCGGATCGCCGACCCGGACGCGCCGCCCTGCTGTAAGCGCGCGCGGATGGTGGGGGTGTGCTCAAGCCAGGGTAGCGCGGCGGGATCCCTGCCCGGCCGCGTCGACAGTACCACCTTCGTCACGCTAGACACGTGGAGGGAGGACGACGTCGGCCTGACCGCCACTGCCACCACCGCCACCACTGCCACGGCCACCGACACCTCCGCCTGGCCGGAGACGGAGAACACGAGTCTGGGGAAGAGGAAGGTGCGGGCCCTGTACGACCACGTATCCATCAGCCACACGAGCTCCCAAACGAAGGTTATTCTCATGCACACATCAACGTATCATAACACCACCACCAAGAAGAAGAAGAACAACAACTACTACTACTACTTGGATCAAAATCCTTCTTGTTTGCTTTGATTACATGATACCTTCTCACTATTGTCGTCATTGTTTTGGCTCCTCCGGTGGCTGAATCACAAAGCCTGATAGTTTGTACGATGAAGAGGAGAAGGACACCAAAGGGGAGGTGGGGAAGCCTTCCGGCGCCACCAAAAAGAGCAGAGCCGCCGCCATCCACAACCAGTCCGAACGTGTAAGTACAAATACAATGATGATTCATTTTCCTTGGTTAACACATGTTCATGATAGCTCAAAAACATTGTAAAATAGGCAATTCTCACTTGAAATCATGAGTTAATTGAGGGATCCTTCAAACATCCGGTAAATAAATTACACTTTTACAAGATAAATTGAGGATATGACACGAGAAGCAGTTTCATGTCTTACTTGTCCCGTCAATAGTCAAATAAAAAACGAGTTGGCTTTTGGAAACGCAATAATTAGCTTTATATCACTAATAAAGTAGTAGCTTTTCCTATTGTTTCAATAGTAATCTCTAATAAATTTACAAGAGAGTTTATATCATTAATAATTGATTTCAAGAAACTTTAGAAAAATAAAAAAAAAAATCACTTGGATTCTAGAAATTAGTTTGTGTATTAATAATTACAACCATATGCTTATTGAGAACATGAAATATAATATAATTGACCTTTTCTTTTCCTGAGACTTTCTTTCCTTCTTATATGTTTAATTACAGACTTTTTAGTAAAAACTCCCAGACCTTAAGAAGATTGTGGTGATGGTTGAAGCACGGTAGCCAATGCAAGGAAATAGCATCAATGATAAATACTGGTCTTAAAAGATATATATTTGTTCCTATCATTTGCATAAGAGACATAAGAATTGTGGGGCTAAAATTTGATCATTTTCACTAGGGTGTCCATCACATCATCATGAGATATTAGCACAAACTCCTACCAAAACATATGTAGAGAGAGAGAGAGAGAGAGAGAGAGAGAGAGAGAGAGAGAGAGAGGGTCATCCTTTGGTTGGAGAACAAGTTAAGAAGTTGCAAGTCTTGGCCATGGAGGATAGAAAGCAGATGCTCAAAGAGAGGCAAAATAATACAAGCATTAGACACTACATGTGTGGCTTGCTAATCATGTGGGACATGAAGAAGAAAAGGACTATCTAATGGATGTGATCTCTACCTTCACTTAGCAAAAGGAAATGATTGTTGTCTTTTTGGTGTCTAATAAATAATTAAGGCTTATCATTGTGGGGAGATGCTTCCAATCTTGATAGAGAGAGTCCCCACGCAGTGCAGTATTATTCTTCTTCTTGTCTCCTCCTTTCATGGTGCACTGCTGCTGTTCTTTACTTGCAGAAAAGGAGGGACAGGATCAACCAGCGGATGAAGACTCTACAGAAGCTGGTGCCCAACTCCAGCAAGGTGCAAAGACTCCCTGCGTCTGGGAATCGTTCTTCCTTGTCTCCCATGAACAATTCAGAGACATGATTAGCTTTTGCCTCTTGCATGAGGAAGACCGACAAGGCGTCGATGCTGGACGAGGTGATCGAGTACCTGAAGCAGCTGCAGGCGCAGGTGCAGATGATGAGCAGGATGAGTAGCATGATGGTGGCTGCCATGCAGCAGCTGCAGATGCCAATGGTGGCGCAGCTGCTACCCCACATGGCCCAGTTCCCGCAGCTGCCACATATGGGACTGATGGACTTTGCCTCGATAGGTCGCTCCGTCCCTCCGGTGTTGCCCCTCCTCCACCCATCGGCGTTCCTTCATCTCGCCGCCACCGGGGGCTGGGACGGAATCGGCGACCGGCGGCCCGTCGGTTCCGTCCTCCCCGACCCCTTCTCGGCTCTCCTCGCTTGTCAGATGGCACAGGTACGTGCGTCCCCGGTTCGTCATAGCTGCATGCATGCATGCATGGCAACCCTAATCTCAGCTTCGGCTGACTGACATTATCATGGTCTCCGACTGCATTCTTACAGCAACCAATGAGCTTAGACGAGTACAGCAGAATGGTCACGCTGCTTCAACACTTGTCTCAGAATCAGTCACCGGCTAATCTCAAGTCGTCGTAGGAAGTCTTAGAATTCACTGCTGGAGGTGTGAACGTTTGACCGCGTCGTGTTTGCTCTGCTCAAAGCATGAAATGAAATGATGCACGTCTTTGGAGGTCAGTGGAGTGGGTAGCAGTGATGATAGACTACCAAGATAAGACATCCTTTTCCATGGATCACAGCTCTCTACGACCACATCTGTATATGTTAATGACATCGCCCACGTCTATACTTGCTTTTCCACACTTTTTAGAGCTCCACTTGTGGACAACAGCACGATGAACTCGACTGTTGATGGAAGCAGGGAACAATCCGAGAGAGACAACTCGTTCGTTCTATGGTCCTCAGAGCCGCATCAACTCAATAATGGATCTGAATTGTGTGATGTGGTGGTGGCCGATGGATGTGTTTGCTCAGATTAATAGATGAGATCACTTCTCCCAGACGAATCATTTGTGTTCGTGGGATCAGCACCTGTGAGCTCGAAAATGAGACTGATGGCACGGTGCAATCTCCACTCTCCAATCACTCCAAAGGAAGAAGATGTACGAGTGGTCTTGTCGCCGAAGGAGACAGATGATATAAGAACAAAAGCGTTCTTGGATCATATGGTGGGGATGGAGGTTTCTCGTCGGTACTGAGGAATGATGAAGTCTTGGCACAGCCTGATGAGGCTGAGGGTGCACTAAATGCAATGATTTAGTCATCGTTTTCCTTGTACTAATCATGTATTCAATGACTACTTTCAAATTCGCATGTTTATCTTATCATTTTTATTCATAAAAAAATTATCTTTTTTTTCCTCACCTTTGGATATTTGTGATAAAAGAGTAAAATCTCTATAAAAAATAAAGTATCATTAATCGAGTTAGAACTAAAATCGAATCGAGTTAGAATTAAAATCGAATCGGCTCGACGAACCATTGATTCTAAACTAAATCGATTCTACTAATTCCAAACTGAATCGGAACTAAACTTGGATGATCAAGTTATGATTCTTGATATATATATATATATATATATATATATATATATATATATATATATATATATATATAATTTTTTATTATCTAAGTCAATTGCATATAAAGATGAATGTGATTTTGTGTGGAAGTTGTGGAATCTATGTCTCCAAAATAAAATAAAAATAAGAATCTAAATGGTTATCTTAATGTTTATTTTGTTGGGACAATAAGAACCTCGCTACTTGTTATATAAATATTTGAACATGATTTATTATCGCCAAATACTCCTAATATTAATTATAAAATTTATTTAATTCCCTATATTTATATAAATTAGTTCTATTTATACATTTGTAGTACCTTTTTTTTTTTTGGCTTCATCTAGGAATAACAAGTATCTATAAATTTCATCATGTCAAGTTACATATATAGTAATTCAAACATGTTTCAAATTTAACTCTAATTATAATTTAGAATCTGATAGATAATTTTTTCAATTTAGTTTAGACTGATTTGATGGACAAATACCTATAAAAATCATTGATTCCAAAAACTTAGTACTTAATATAAATCTTTAAAATATAAAACATGATGATCTTATAATAATAATAATAATAATAATAATACATTAATTATTAAATATATTTTTAATAGAAACATATAAACGTGGATTAATTGATGGTTAGTTGTTAGGGCTACAATTTAGCTTGCAATGCCCACCGTTCACTGAGCGGGTATATGACCGTTGACCCGGAAACAGGCTTCTTCTCCTTGCACCCACTTGTCACCAACCACTACAACGCAGCTCTACTCCCCTCCCTCCACATCCAACCAACACCTCAGCTACAAACCAGGGAGCAACTTTGTTGCACCACTAGGAAGAAGAGAACTAGAGAGAGAGAGAGAGAGAGAGAGAGAGAGAGAGAGGAAGAGGAGAAGCTTAGTCTTGCACCATACAAACCTCTGCTTACCCCGTTCCGCCTTCAACCGCAACCATTACAAAGCCTCCACCCTTCTCTGTTCTTCTTCTGATGGCAATGGTGATGGACCAGCAACAGCCAGAGCAACAGCAGCAGCAGCAGACGTACAGGCACTATTGCCGGATATGCAAGAAGGGGTTTGGCTGCGGGCGCGCCCTCGGGGGCCACATGCGCGCTCACGGGATCGTCGACGACTACGCGGCCGACGCTGAGGATGACCCCTCCGGCTGCAGCGACTGGGATGGCAGGATGAATTCGGCGGCCGCCGGCACCAAGCGGATGTACGCGCTCCGCACCAACCCCGCCCGCCTCAGGAGCTGCCGGGTCTGTGAGAACTGCGGCAAGGAGTTCCTGTCGTGGAAGTCATTCCTCGAGCACGGCAGATGCAGCTCCGAGGAGGAGGAGGAGGAGGAGGAGGAAGAGGGCTACGAGTCTGTGCCCGCCTCGTCCAGGTCCGAGGGTGACGTCGATCTCGCGGGGTGGAGTAAGGGCAAGCGATCCCGGCGCGCGAAGGTGGTCGGGATGAGCGAAGAGGAGGACCTCGCCAGCTGCCTGATGATGCTGTCCGCCGCCCGTGTCGAGCCGGCGGCTATCGCCGAGACCGAGGAGTCGTGTGCGTCCGCGAGCAAGGAGGACGACCGGCGGCAGCAAACGGTCGCGGTCGGTGTCACGACGGAGATTCCTCAGGGTCCTGCATTCTTGCCGCCGGCGCAACCGAGCGTTCCCAGGGGGACGTTCGAGTGCAAGGCTTGCAAGAAGGTCTTCAGCTCGCACCAGGCGTTGGGGGGCCACCGAGCCAGCCACAAGAAGGTCAAAGGCTGCTTCGCCGTCAAGCACGACGGCCTCGACGAGGCCCCGCCCGACGACGAGGTGATCACCCACGAGAACGTGGCGGCCGCATCGACCTCGACGGCGATCGTGCCGTTCGATGACCCGGCTCCCCTGGCCATTACGCCGCTCAGAAAGAGGTCGAAGGTGCACGAGTGCTCCATCTGCCACCGCGTGTTCACGTCGGGGCAGGCGTTGGGCGGGCACAAGCGATGCCACTGGATCACGTCCAGTTCGCCGGACCCCGGCCTAAAGCTCCAACCCTTACCGCACCACGCCAACCTTCCCCACCAGCTGACGCTTAGACCCATGTTCGATGAACCTCTCGATCTCAACCAGCCTGCGCGCGCCGATGAGATCGCTCGAGGGACGAGGGACATCGGGAGTCCATTACGACTCCAAATGCCTGCAGCGATCTACTTACAGGCATGGATCGATCGCCGCGACGTCGGCAGAAACAGAGCCTGTGCCACCAGCAGTGACAAGAACGACGATCACAATAACGTCCACGGCAAGGACGACAACAACACCGAGATGTCTGGTCTCAACGTGGACGACGAAGTGGACAGCAACGTAAAGAGAGCGAAGCTGAGCGAGCTGAAGGACATCAACATGGGAGAAGACAGCTCCCCTTGGTTGCAGGTGGGGATTGGTTCGTCTGCCAACGAGAGCAGTGAAGCATGAAGAACAGGAGGAGGAGATGCAGAGTGTGTGTTGTAATAGAAGACTGTAATTACAAGAAAAAACAAAAAAAAATCATTCACGTTCAAATATCATGTAACTCTTTTTCTCTTTATTTTCCCTCCCTAATTATCTCATGATTAAGTGCTGGAATCAAGTTTTCCTAATAAAGATGAATTCGTGCAGCAGACGGCTGCAAAGTAATCAATATAGCGAAATCATCTTTGTCTTCACTGTCACTATTTCCTAGTCTCTCTTTCTTTTCTTTGTTTCTCCTACCTTCTACTCTTCCATCTCTCTTGCACAAGGGAAAACATAATGGATATGCTACGAGATTAAAACAAATAAATCATAGTTATTGCAATTATTCCTTCCAATGGATCAACTCATACAAAATATATTTCATCACAGTTTGGAAAAACCCAAAAAAGACCAAAGCAATAAACCTTGAAGATTATCGTCAGCATCTAGACTGAAATCTCACCTTCATCATTTACCCTTTGTAAAAAAAATATGCATATATATCTTCGAAACTTATAAGGCACTTTCATATTTCAGCATGAATTGCAAAAATAAAATTACGATGCATAGTAGATGTTAACAATGGACTCAGATGTCTAACAACACACATCCTAGTCATCTTTTAATCACTGGGGTGTCTCTTCCCGAGAAAAAAAGAAGACATTCAAAGGATTTCCTAGCTTCAACAATTTCATCCGCGACAAATGCACATGTCCGTAACAAAAGTATTACAAGCATTGGCAATTGGTTTGCTAATTTTGAATGCGGTGCATGACATGCTAACAACCTTACAGGAATATCACTCTGAATCATCCAAGGAGAACTGCAATAGTTTTGCTGACAACTCACTTGGCACCCGAATAGGACGATAGCTTCCATTGAGACAAACAACTGTTGCAGTTGCTTCCAATACGGGCTGAAGAGACACAAGATGGCAAAGAATTTATAGATGCACATTAACAAATGGTGTCAATCTAAAAAATAAGTTTATTGCATACCTGCAGATCTGGCAGCTTGTAAATGAAGTGTTCCATAATAACTCGAGCAGCCGTGATGCTCACAACCCTCACCTTTAAAACAAATTTATCCTGACTCTGATAATGCAAGAAAACCCAATGAAGACACGAACTTACAATTTGATATAGATCGACAAAATAAACTGTCAGCATGAGTTGGGAGAAAACTACTAAATTCCAGTAACTGTTTTCTTCAAGTGATGCACTTCATAAGCACCATTCTTATACAGGGTAGCCACTTGGTTTTCCAAATTGGTACTCAAAAGCTTGTCTGTGCACTTCACTTATTTAACAAATCATCTATCGATCCGGATATCTTGTCATTTAATTAGCAAAATTCCGGGAACACCAACAAATTTTATTTATTTATTTTTTGGGTTCAAAAGGTCAAACGAATTGTTTTTAACATATGAACAAGCAGGATAGAAACCCATGATGCTTCTAGAGAAGAAGCTCTGTGCTTCTTCAAGTTCTTTTAAGCATGCAATAATTTGATGAACCAGAAGCAAGACATACTCTTAATGGTGAAATATACTTCAGCCGCAAGTCAGAAAGTGCAAATGAGTTTCCAGTGCGAGCAACTGCATCCACATTAATCCCGATCTTCTTAAGTAATTCATGACGGCCTAATCGAATTCAAAAGACGGGCAGCATTAAGGAATAAGGAACTGTAGCTTGTAAATCAAAAGGGGGAGACATCTCCAATTAAGAAAGAGCAGGTAAAAGTAAAGGACCATAGAATACCAAGGTCCAGGATCATCCAGTTGTATTTTTAAGAAAATATAATGCATATAACATTTTCTCTGCTTGTCAGGATGTCAGATGCATTAAGCTTCACCATAGTTGCCCAATAATTCTATTTCCCACTACCAGAAGAGAAAACTGAAAAGCAAGGTGTTCAAATAATAGCTCCCAAGTCATTTTTGTCATTCCAACTGACATTAGTCATAACTTCTTCCCATAAGAGATATGGAACAGGGAGCTCACCTGAATGCTCAAAATTGACATTTTTGGAAGGTCTTGAACAAAGTACAGCGGAGCTGCAAATTCAATTCAAATTATGGAACATCTTGTTAGTTGGCATTACTTCTTTCTTCCCATCCTTCTTTAGCTTTGTATCCATTCTTCTTGAAATAAATTATCTTCTCCCAGAATCGGCATGCATTTTCCTTTATTCACATTCTTTCTTTATTTTTGTTTCTGATAAATGAAGGATCAGGTCCTTCTTTCTTCTTTCATACACCTTGCCTGTTTCTTTCTTCCACATATTTCTGTTATCCTCAAATTCATGCTCCTTTTTCCACATCTACTTTCTATCAGCAAACACCATCCACATTCATATTCTTGCTGGCTTCTCCAGTGAAATTATCTATTAAAATTTAAATGCATCTAGTAACTAACTTATCCTAAACAACAAATTGATTCCAATGACTGATGAATCTGCCTCATGTGCATAAAATTCCATGCAAGTTTAACCTATGGTATCAAAAATATCAACATAACAAGGTATATCCATTTTAAGCCGATCTAATGTAAAAGTGCACATAGAATGCACATGAAGGTATCATTCATGTGGACCATATTAAAATTCAAGTACTACAATATAGAAGTATAATTATCTAGATAGGAGAGGGGGGAAAAACCAGAAATTCACTCCTGAATTGCTACCATATCTAAGGATAAGGAGTGAGACTCATATTGATGGTAGGAAGTGGTTATAACATCTTTTGAAAAATTGTCTAATAGAAGAATGAGAACACAGGATGTAAAGAAGTATCAACCCCTAAAGAAACCAACTCTTTTGACGAACAAATTTTGGTGGTTCAAATGCTCTCTTAGATGTCCATACCAGGTTCTTAATCTAGTTCCTGCATTTGCTTCCTAGAAGAAGCCATATCATATAGAGTTTCTTACCACATTGACTCCTGCATCCACCTGCAGTTTATTTAATTTTTTGTTGGTGCTAAAAATAATAAAAAAGAACGATGCACTTGACTTAAATGAAATCACTGCAAGCATCAACTTCTCTCATTCTCTTTTTTTCTTTTTTAACTTCTCTCATTCTCTTTAACAAGATGTTTTCGTGAATGAATCTGGTTGACCACACATCCACAATTCAAAAAATATTGTGTTCTTTTTTTTTTTAATTCCAAGCAATTGCCTACACAAAAAAAGATGGACATATCTTTAGAGGATACCTTAGCCAATATCATCTCCAGCTTTTCTTTCACATACAAGCCAATAAAAGATAAAAGAAATAGAAACAAAGTTTTGTAAATGTCGATGAGTCCATGAATCAGGCAGTTAATGACATTCACAATCTGACTTTCTCTTTAAATTTTGAGTTGACCGAAGCCCACATGGTAATAATAAATACAGTTGGATTCATACAGATTTCAGTTAGATCCAAAATCTCTTAAAAGACAGACCTGGATAGATTGTCCTTTTCTAATTTTTCAGGCAATACTGAACTCTAACAATTTCATCCAAGGAAAACAGACCATGCAAGCATTTGTATTCTGTGAGAAATTTTGATTAAGGCATAAACCATGTTAATTTTTTTCTAGACATCATATTGCATAATTATGAGGAAATATACAATGGGTCTACTCATGATAGGACACTATCTACACCAAACAACACTGCAAAAGATAATTTTTTATGCTCAACAATACGTAAAAGATAATTCATTTAAAAATAATAATAAGGACTCCTGATATCAATCTTTGAAAAGACTTATCCTAGGAGATAAAGTGTTCCTCTTGTTTCCAGCCAAAAAAGGCCTCCATCACTATGCACAATAAAATGAAAATATTTCAGACATGATTTAATCCTAATTTTTTGTTGGGAATCAACATAGCTTTTACTCCTTTGCCCCAAAAAAAAAAAAGAAACATAGCTTTTACTCAATTTGATTAGATTACTAAGTTACTAATTCAATTTCAAAATTAAACAGAAGCAGACTATTAATTGAAAAATGCATCATGGGAAAACCATCAAGTTTTATTGAACCATTCAACCACATATAATAAGGCATAAATTGAATCCAATTCTACTAATCATAGTGCATAGATCTTGAAATAAATATTACCATGCTGACAATAGTTTGCATAGACAGCATTATTAACAACTCCAAACTGATCGACTTCATAATCTCTGACGTTAAGCTCAACTTCGAAAAAATTTTGCGTCCTATATTGAGAGGAAGACAATTAGAACAAATTAAGTGGGCAAGAAAGTAAATGACACAGAAAATTGATAAGGAGATAACACCTTCGAAATTCCAGCAAAGTTCCAAATACCTAAAATTTAACCAACCAAAAAACTCAAGAAGTAGTTTTCCAACTTGCAAGCAGTGCAATGCACTTACTTCACAGGCAATCTTCCTTATTTAGGGGAAGATGGGAGCTAAATTATCTAAAAGACTCATAAGGAAATGGAAAAAACAAAACAGATATAAAAATATTATAATTAATTACGATACAGCAGTATCGATGCCAATTACTTCCGTTCCGAAGAATAAAGGTCAAGATCATGCGATCCCGTGAGGAAACCAGAGAAGATAAATTTCCTATAGAAAGGGAATTGAAACAGTAGATTCAGGCAGCGGCACTAAACATTACAAAAGAACACTCGCAAACATAGAACCCACCAAACTAGTAATCTCTTTTGAGCAAGACCCACCAAAAAGGTAATCATCGTGACTACAAGAAATCCTCACTTTCTTTCTTCCCTCGGAACAATTTCTCTTTTAGCTAGTCAAAACATGTTATCATTTTAATTCCTAACATAATGTGGGTTCAAGAATGAACCCTTGACGACAATTGTCACGAATTCCATTTCCTTATGCTAACTAAATATACCTCCTTTTCCTCAAGTTAAATCAGATCAGAAACAAGAGAGGACAAGCAAGCATCTTAAAGAACCTAATGTCACCGACTGAACCAGGCGCCTCGGTGCTCCTCGCTGCGACAGGGCGGACGCACCGTCCGCCGCTGCGGCGCAGGACGGGCCCTCTGTGAGTTCCGCGCTGCACAAGGTGGATGAAGAGCGCAGCTCTGACAGCGGAGAGGCGAGTGGCGCTCGACGGAGAGAATGGGACGCGGGCGTCATGTACGAGGCTGTGGGAGCGGAGCTGCATCGCCTTTGCTTAGCTAGTAGGGATGCGCCTGTGCGTTGGAATCTGCGTCGGAATGGTTCGAATGTTTGCTGAGATTTATATTTCGAAAGTTAATTAAATATTATTTGACTACTGATATATATTTAATATTTATATAAAAATAATTTTTTATTTAAATTAATAAGTAATAAATAAATAAATATATGTAATATTGCAAAAAAATTCATTTGATCCAGATATATATAATAAATAAATAAAAATATAATCATGTAAATAAATTTAAATAATATTTAAGATAAATAAAAAAATTACTATATAGAAGATATAAAGGATACTTTGGGAACAATGTCATCTTGTAATAAAATTTTATTTTATTAAATCGAGATATTTAAAAAAAAATTATTAGTGTCCTACAAATGCTAAAAAAACTAATAAGACCATAAGATATTTTTTTAGTATTTAAGCATTTTCAATACAATATTTAAATTAAATATAATAAAAAAAAATCAAACACTAATATTTTGTTTGATATTATGATTTTCTTTAATTTAATAGTGTCGATCAGAATAATAAGAATCACATGTTATGACCATTATAGGATGACATGATTAAGATATCAGATTAGATTATAAATCAATTTCATCGAGAGTCCTCATATGGATTCAAGTAGCATATTGTAAGATGTTGTTTGGAAATAAAAATTAGATTTTTCTACGTAATCATTATGATCAATTTTAAGATATCTTGTAAGCAATGAATGTGTTTTAGTTAGTATGCGTAAGAATTGGATGGGTTGACCACATTGAAACGTATTGATTGACTTGATCTACTATCTACTGTTGTCATAGTTTTTATTGTCTTGATGCTTCTTCTTCCTCTTTAAAGTGGTGGGGGAAGCCTGCTTCACGTTAGCTTACAAGTTAGAATTGCTCCTCGTCCTTCTTTATCTTCATGGTATGGTTGGTGGTTGGAGGATGATTGATCCATTGACACCATCACACTTCCTTTAGCCTTAAAGAAAATATGTTGAATTCTAAAGCATACATTGTAGTATGCTTATAATAAGGTTAGCATCAAGGTAACATTGATACCACCATACTCCCTAATAAATATTATAAGATAATACCACGAATTTAACGTAATCTCAATAGCCTAGATCTTTCAACGAATTCAAGGGAGCTAAAGTCGTCTTACTCCCATTGCATCAATTATAGATCTAAATCATCTATAATTTAGATCTTGAGGATTTATATGGTAATTAGAGTTAAAGGAGTCGATTATGAATTATTGAGCTCAAGGAATAATAAACATTATTTGAGGATAATATAATAATTTAATATATATATATATATAAAATATTCATTAGTGATAATATCATCGAGTCTAACTATTAAACATTATTTGAGGATAACGTAATCGAGTTAGTCATAAAGTATCTTCTAACAATAATACTACTAAATCTGATTATGAAATATCATTCGATGATGGCCATAAAATATAATCTAACGTTTCATGTAATGAATCTCTTGTTACAAGTGTCTTCAGCCAAATTTGATTATGAAATACTATGTAGTGACGATACGATCAAATCTAACTATAAAGCATCTCTCAAGTCATAAAACATCAAAAGATACTTTACGACCTATATAGAGTTTGGTTATAAAGCATCCATTGATAATAGTGGGATTGAATCCGACCATAAAGCATCATTTGTGACAATGTGATCAAATTTCATCATAAAGTATCTTTTGATAACGATGTGATCAAATCTATCCATAAAGCATCTCCCAATAATGACATGATCAAATTTTGCTATGAAATGTTTATTGACAATGATAGAATCAAATCGGGTCATGGAGTATCATCCGATGATAATAATATGAACCTGACCATTAAGCATCTCTTGATAATGATGTAGCTAAACTCGACTATAAAATATCATTCGATGATAATATGATTGAATTTGATCGTGAAATATCCTCGAACAATAATATGATGGAATATAATCATAAAGTATTATTTAAAACTAAAAAGTCGACCCCAACACTCAAGTATATTTATAATAGATAATGATGCTATTAAATATGAATATGAGGCGTCATATGAAGACATCGAAGCCAACCCTAACTCTAAGTCTATTCATATTAGAGGACATGTTCATATTGCTTATGATATCCCCATCATGCATTAAAATATAATATGGAAAGGTGACAAATGAGACCAATACATGCGCAACTTAATAATATTGTGGGTTTAATACTTAATCAATATCGATAAATATGTCTATCCATCCCAATACGTAATTCAATGTTTTTTAACATTAGCATAAGCTATTTCGACAAATATCTTCTTAACTAAATAATAATTGCATAGATTAACTCCCCACTACATCCTTTAGTCTATTTGAGAATACTACTCAATACTAATCTTGAATTATATGAGTCTTTGCTAACTTAAGCAATGAGCTTTTGTCATGTATACTTTTGATATAGTTTTTTCATAATCATCTATCAAATTTTCTACTTTCTTAACATGACTTTTGATAAACTCGACCTAAGTTAGTTTCGAATTCCTAATGCGTCAAACAATTAAAACTAAATTCTAAAGTAAAAAAATGTTAGATCGCGAATATGTCTAAATTTAAGTTTAAAATCCCTAAAATCACCTAAAATTAGAAAACTAATAGAATAACTATTTACACTGGTAAAATAAATTATGTTACATTGAATTGAAAAATCAAAATGAAAGTATGCAAAATTTAACTTAAAAGGCCTTTAAGATCACCAAGAATAAAAAAAATCAATAAAATGATTGTGAATATATAATGTTAAAAGAGTTAGATGAGTCGAATAAATTTGTTGATGTTATATTTATAAATAAACCATATTACGATCAATTATAGAATCATAAGTAATACACAGTTTATTTTTTTATTTTGATTGTAGAAATATTTTAAGAGGTGAAAGTCTATTATTGTCGGAAAAAACTGATAAAAAAAATATAGGTGGATATAGACAATTAATTATCAAAAAAATTTTCCCCAGTTATGAGCAATAAACAATTAAATCACAATTAAGCACGTAAGAATACTGATAATTTTTTTTATGAAAAACTTTCAATGTGAAGGATAAAAATTACGGAACCTCACCTAGTTCAAATCAAAATCTCTGCTACGAAAATATTATTTACCGTAGCAAAGAGTTCTACAACAAATTTAAAACCTAAAACTCAAATACCTGTTAATTCAAATAGGAGGTCGACTAGATTGGGGAGATTTTCTAGAAATCACCTCGAAAATTATAACATTATTTAATTCAAATATAATATATATATATATATATATATATATATATATATATAAAACATTGTTAAACTTACGATCCGAACCCCAATTCATCGTGACATGGGATGTGATCGAACCCAATGTCAGATTTGATTTTAGTAGCCACGAATTCAAGTCCATCGACCGCTCGATTCCCTAAAGAGATTGCAAACCAATTCGATAAGCTTCCGGCGCCGTGTGTGTGCACAGTCGTGACTTGAGTTGCTGTGGCGACGGGCACAGGATCACCACCGTCGCGAAAGCCTATCGGAGGTAAACCACCGTCTGATCTCGATCAGCCCCGTTCTTAAAGCAGTCGTCTCGCGTTAGACGGCGACGGAACCCCTACGCGTGGCGTAGGGCCTCCCTCGTTCCTGCCCCTTCTTCGTCTCCTCCCCCCGCGGTCCGTCCCCGTGTCCCGCCATGGATTACTCCGCCTTCGCCCAAGCCCAACAGCAGCAGCAACAGCAACACCAGTACCAGTACCATCAACCTTACGACCCCGCCCGATCCCAGCAACAGGTGCTCTACGGTGCAGCGGCCTACCAGCCTTACCGTCCCCAAGAAGCCTACTACAGCCACCACCCATCCTCCACCCATCATTACCACCCTTACCACCACTCCTACCGGCCGCTCCCTCCGCCGCCGCCCGGGACCGACCCCTTTTTGCAGAACCACGCTTTCCGGGGTCCGCATCGGGAGCACCACCGCCCGCCTACGCCGCAGACGCAGCAGCGCCCCCTCGCGTTATCTAAGTTCGGGAGGGCCATTGGCGTAGGCGAGCGGCCTGTGGCGCCACCACAACATCTGGCGGTATATTTTTTGTTGCCCTAATCGCTCAATTGGTTCTTTCTTGACAGAATCTGGCACTTGAGATTTGGTTTGGCGTGAAGCTTTCTCTGGCCCGTTAGTAACTGGGGCTTATCTCAATTATTTGGTCACATTAGGAAAATTTCCTGCCATCCGGCAATTCACGGTTCAGATATTTGAAATTCTTCTGAAACTGAGTTGGAGTTGTTACTTCTAATTTTGTTGCTTGATTACCTCCTCCGCGTCTGAATTCCTTTTCTGTCATTTGGTATATATAAAAATTCTTTATAACGTCACGTCCTGTTTGTGAATTGAGCTAAAGGTCATCACATCGTGGTTGCCAGTACCATAAAACACAGGTAGGCTTGGCTTCAAATCTTATGGAACACAGAAAATATGAGTCGGAAAGTTTATCTTGTTAAACCTTCATTCTTTTTTAGGATATACGGATTGAGCTTGTGCAAAACCTTCTAGTTAATGGGATTGTTTCTTTGTAGTTAGATGTCGACACTTGATAAGTTTTATCGTTTAAGACCGACATATGTTGCGTTCCTTGTACAAAAATGGTTTTGTTTATCTGACTTTTCGATTGCATTAGGCACCATAACTTGACATTTGTTTTCTGAAAACCTTGATATCAGATTCTTGATTCCATTAAGGGGTTACAGATAAATGCCAACCAAATCTTTTAGTCTAAAGGATGAACATAATATATGGGAGGTTTGACTGGACATATATTGGTGTAGATTGCCTTAAGGTTATTGTGGTGTCAGATGCTTCTACCAATTTTCTACTGATGTGATTCACAAGAAAAACTGGCATTGTAAGAATGCACTTATCTATGGAGTTTATATGCAATGGTTTAAATTGCTTATATTGGGTTACTTCTTAGGTCCTTTGGCATTTCCTTTATTTATAAAGGACC